ATGCTCATGATGGAACATTCCGAACCGGCCATGCAGCTGGAAAATCAGTTGTTTGCCTTGCCGGCTACATTGACCGACCGCTGGCGTACCGAACACGAGAAACTGAACCCTACAACTATTTTGACCGACAATGGATCCGCTGGTGACATTAATTTCTTTATACCACCTAGTACGGCTGGTCTGCTCAGTTTGGCAGATATGATATTGGAGTTGGAAGTGGGCATCAAAGTGCGTAAAACTACCGGTGACTGGGAATTGGTAACCGCGGATGATGGGGTGGCACCGGTCAATAATTTCTTGCACTCGCTCTTCTCATCCTGTCATGTAACGGTAGCCAATCGACTGATCTCGGATGCCGCCACGTTCTATCCGTACCGAGCATACTTTGAGTCATTGCTATCGCATAGCAAAGAGGCTCAAAGTAGCCAGTTGACTTCGGCTGCATTCTATTTGGACACGCCCGCCAAACATAACGATGAGACGTCTAATCAAGGAGAAAAGAGCCGTAAGGCTTTATTTCAAACCGGACAATATGTTCAACTTTCTGGAAGACTATTTTCGGACTTGTTTGACCAAAGCAAACCACTGTGCACAGGGGTTCCTGTGAACATCCGTCTGGTAGTCAGCCGCCCTGAATTTGCCCTGCGTGTGTGGGATAAAGATGCCACGAAAACGTTTAAGCCCTTCATTCGCAATGCTCGGTTGTCTATCCGACGCTACATTCCCTCACCGGATTTTCTGACAGCTGTTGCTGGTGAATTGTTAAAGAAAACCGTCAAATATCATGTTGAGCGGATAGTTATGCGCGTGTCGGACATTCCGCAAAAGACGCAAAGCACCGTGGTCAGCAATCTACAGATTGGGCAAATACCCAAAGTCGTGTTCGTTGGATTTGTCGATAGCGAAGATTTTCACGGATCCATCAAAAAGAATCCGTTTAACTTTCAACATTTCAACATTACACAACTTAGTGTGGAAGTGGATGGTCAGAGCTTCCCTAGCAAACCCTATATAAGTGATTTTGAACACAACTTATCCTTGGAGTGCTACGATGGTTTGCTTGATACTCTGGGATACCGACCGAGTTTGCAAGGCGGACTACCGTTCAACCGCACCGAATATAATCAAGGATATACCGTATTTGGTTTTGACCTTACACCAGGACATACTGGCCGCGGACCTTTGACCTTGATAAAACAAGGAAATCTGAGTGTATCAGTTTCCTTTGCTAAACCATTGACGACAACAATCATGATGGTGTGCATGCTGATTTATGACAGCATCATCGAAATTAATCAACATCGCCAGTTGATTGCGGATTTTCAACATGAACACGGAGCAAATTCACCACTGTCTGCAGGAAATCCTGTTACCACCCAGCTGTTCCGCGGTGTGTTTGCCAGTGACCAAGTTCCGCCATGTTTAGCCCCGTACCCTGGAGCATGTGTAGTTAACACGGACCCCTCTGACCAAAATGGCGCACACTGGATTGCTTTGCTACAAACCCAAGCGGGAATCTTGGAAGTGTTTGATTCGTATGGTAAAGCGTTGGAAACGTATTCTCAGCACTTCTCTATGCTTGCTCAGAATAATACTATTGTCTGTCAAGACGAACAGTTTCAGTCCGAATATAGTACCGTGTGTGGTCAATATTGCTTATTTTTTGTTTTGAGACGCGCTAGCGGCGAATCTTTCACTAATATTGTACATTTATTTACCGATAATCGAACAAGCAACGACAAGATGGTGTGTCAGTATGTAAATTCTTTTTTTGATATCAACACAGCAATAGTTGACGGATCTTTTCTCCGTCAGATATGTCAACGATTAATGAAATGAACCATGCAAAAACGATCTGTTCAAAGAAATAAATAGAACAAATGCCGTGTTATACTGTAGTGACAACCATAAAATGCATTACAGAAATCCTAAGTTAAACTTGGTTCAGAGAGCAGTTTACTTGCATACGGATTTGATTTTCATGTGTATCCAAATACTTCACCACATCCAAACTTAAGGCTTGCTTAAAGCTCAGTTCTTCAAAACCAAACAAAATGCCATGCACAAAACGAGCATCCAACAGACGTTGCACAGCATCTTTCCATTCCGTATACGTTAACACGTCCCGGAAATCAGGGCATCTTTCATGAACTAGTTTCACCATAGCATCAATAATAGCGTCGCACAACTTCTCATGACAAAGACCTTTTTTGTCATCATCCACATCCTCAACGATTTCGTCCACACTGACAATATGTTTGAAGAGAGTAAAATCCCGTATGCTTCGTAGCACTTCTCGTTCAATGATATCTCGTTTCTCGTGGGCATCAAATCACCTTCCTGAGACCGCTGATAGCGGCGAAAGCTGGCCACGTTAGGACGGCTCCAGTTGAAGTACACCCCTCGGTCCAGTAAGAATAAAGGAGGTAAATTTCCATTGGAATGATCCAGATCGGCTTTTTCCGTCAGCAGTAACGATACCAAGCGCATGAATCCTCTTTTGGTAAGGCTTATCGTTTTCGCCCACGTCTGCTTCCATTTCCCGGGCGGTCCTTCCTTCCATTCACCAATAAAAATTCGAGTTTCTTCCCACTGATAATCGACATGCACAAATTTCTCGTTGCCCAGACGATACACAGGACGACCGTTCTCTGTGAAGGCTAAACGAGGATGAGTCTTCTCGACACTGCACTTAGTCTTGTTGACTAGTGGCATTTTAGGCTTCGAGTCTGAACGGCGGCGTTTTAGAGACGGTTCCATTTTTGTCAGAACTGAACTCAAATGAAGTGTATGTTGAGCGCACGCAAGTTGTAAAACAAATGTTTGAAGGTCAACTGTGGTACATGGTGCCAGGTAAAGTACCTGGCACCAGGTACCATAAACCAACGCTGTTGCCAAGTGATAAACGAGTTGTGTATTTCAGTCTAGTCTTGACCATGGCTCTGCCATGTGTTTTAGATGCTGATTGGTTTATAATTGAAAAGGTACCATATATCAAACAGCTGGCCTTCTCGTGCCCAGAAAAACATGACAGTGGGCAGTACACCTTCAGCTTACCACGATCAGCCGGTAAACACGCTCGCGAGTTGCAGAAACAGGCCAAGCATTCCCATGGACTTCTCTGGAGCACCTTTGGTGATTATCGACACAATCAAGTGACGGTTGCCTTGGAAGACATGTTTAACCGTATTGGCCGTCCTAGTAAGCTAACTTTCTATGCCAAGGGTTTGGAGAAGTGCCGTTTACTGGAGCGTTATGTTCCCCAAGTGGTCAATCTTGAGGACTAGGTTGCCCCGTCTATCACCGTCTAACAGATGTGCCCCAAACAACACTGCGCAAAGCTATTCGGTTCGGTTTGTGGTTCTACTGCCATGCCAAAAATCATGAATGTCGTTGCCGTTGCGGATTTAAACACTATCCTCAATCTGAAGGAGATTGAAAAGAAAGTACCGATGGCGCAGTATATTCCCCGCAAATTTTCCGGCTTACTCCTTCGTATTCTCTCTCCCTATAAAGCACATTGCCAACTATATTCCAATGGAAAAATCACGGTCAATGGAGCTCGTTCGGAATCTGCTGCCAGAGAATTGGTCGACAAGTTTACCAGCATTCTTCAATCAATTGGGTACCGTTGTATCGTTTCAGGATTTCGAATTGTTAATATTGTTGTCACTCATGATTTTGGTGCGCGTATACATATTGAGAAATTCAGCCAACATTACAAGTTGGAATATACTCCTGAACTGTTTAGCGGTTTACGTATAAAATTGCCTGGGTGTACTGCTGTGCTCTTTCCATCGGGAAAATGCAACTTTTTGGGATTGAAAGAAATGCATGACATACAAATATCAGTAAATTTTGTTGGTCGAATGATACAGCAGTTTCCTGCTACTCAATAAATCTATTCAACGGTATATCCGTATGGAACAGTATTCCAGTCTTGCGTAATGCGCCGCTTATCATACGTCACTTGCAGACGCTTAGTTACATCACTATTGCATAGAATAAGCTGAGACTTGATGCGTTTAATAACATCATCATAGTGCACATCAATACAACAAGACTTGTGCAGAATATTCATCATGGACTCCATGTTAACTTTCTCTTTAACCCGATTATTGATGGTGAATCCTTTGATTTTGACTACCGAATGTCCATCGTTTGTCGTGTAGGCATAGGTCTTGGCGCCCAAGCTGACGAATTGCGTAATGTGTTGTCCAGGTTTTAGTTCATCGGTTAAATCGCCCAAAAATCGGCCAGTAGGAGGGTCAGGCCATCCCGGTTTCGACACAAAGAAAATGGAATCTTCAGAGCAAATAAAATAAAAATAATTGCCGTGAAAACATTGTGTTACAGTTAAACACCTGTGTCGAAATACAAAAGGCGCTCTTGAGCCATATCCATAAACTGGTATAGATGCAGTCGTGCCCAACATGTGGTGAACCTAATGCAAAAATCGTCTTAAATTCACCATGCTGAATAAAGTTTTTACAAAACTTACGCGGCCAGGACAACATTGGTGTTCGGATTCTGCTCGATAAATCCATCTTCTTTGGTGTATGTGATCTGCATGACGTTGTCATCAAAAAGATCCCACGAATGCACATGGTGTTTGCCGGAAAATAACATTTCATAAAATTTTTTGGGGTCATGAATGTACATGGTATTCAGTTTGTTATCCTGCATTCCCAGTCGGCCCCAAAAACTGTTGAGGCATAGTTTGGCTAAAGCACGTAGTCCGGGATTTTCTTTGACCTTATCATAATCCAACTTGACCCCTTCCCGTTCTTCAAAATCAGCAATGTATTTTCGTTTTTCATTTTCCGCGGTAACATCTGATGGCCATCCACTGGCTTCCGTCTTGATTTTTAAAAAGCGGTCGATATATTCCTTGAAAAGGTGATCATCAAACGTTTCGTAATGCCACACTTCGTACATCTTCGTGACGGTATATCCCCGATCCATAGCAGCATGTATCTCTGGTGTGCACCACGTTCCCGTCAGTTCCTTTCCGAATCCGTGTGGTCACATTTCTTGCTGTTCTGTTCTTTGACACATGTTGCACATAACGGGAAAGTCAGCTTGCCGTTGCAACGGTAAGGTAAAATAGGTAGCCACAAATCTGCCGGTGGTAGCACTGTGCAGTGGACTAAACCAAAATATTCCCGAACGTTTTGGAAGCTCTTGGTTAAAATAATAGGATGCCCTAACGGATACCGGCGGTTTTTGTTGACGAACGGGTATTCGCTGTTGACATCGAAATACTTGATCTTTTCATCGGCAGCCACCGTATGCAACAGTCGCACGGCATTTGTCCGGCCACCATAGAAAGCGTTCCGAGGGTTTAACGGTTCGGTAATCTTTATATCGTTAATGAACTTGCGCATTTCGGAATCAATGCGAAGGTCTGCGTCAAAGTCATGTTCCCAAACAGTGGTTACTGGGTGACCCAATGAGCGTAAGTACTGTTCACGGTCCATCGTCTCTTTGTAGATGTCACGCATCGGTAGGTTTCGAAACGGATGCACTGTCTCCGGGTCCATACATGTAGGGCAGCCATGGTACCAACATCCATAAAACTCGTAAATGTGACCAGTGTCCTCCTGGTATCCATCCACGTAATAAGGACCGATTTTCTGTTCGGTGCCGGAGACCACAGATTGAATAACGCAATTTTCTTCGTTTTCCATCCATGAAATCCATTTCATAGCCTTGACCGATTGCAAGCGATTGCGGGCAAACCGTTGTTGCGGAACCAGACCGATCTGATTTGCTTTCAGAATGAAGGAGCGCCAGTACAAGTTGCACAGTCCAGCGATTGTTAGAGCAGAGGTGAAAGGACAAAGTCCGTTGCTGATTTCCATGAACAGTTTGCGAAACTGTTGGCAACAGGTCCGTAAGACAGTGACGTCATTTTCGCAGTAGGCGACAAATTCCTTACGAAAATCAAAAAGACCGCTTTTGGCTTTGACATCGGCATCGTACCATTCTTTGAAAGAGGCTTGCGCTTTCTTGTCCATTGTTCGGAACCCATATTCATCCATGCTGGGATACGGCGCAACACGGTCCCAATTTTCGCGACGATTAAATTTATGAGGGAAAGTTCCTTTGCTGATGTCCGGTAATCCGAATGTCGCGGGCCATTTGGCAAGGCTTTGTGGGTTGTAATTTATGCTGTCACGAAAGTGAATATCGTAACCCGGGACATGCAGTTGCAAAATCTTTCCACCGTTCATGATAACTTTAGGGGTCACACCATTTTTTAAAAGCCACTGTAGTATAAAATATCCATCAAACGCTTTAAAATTGTGCGCGATGATGTAATGCCCTTTGTGATGTTCGCTAATCAAAAATTCGCACAGTGGGTCCGTTATGCATTTTTCTAATGGTTCGTCAGTAGAAGGAAAAGTCCACTGAGTTCCTGTATCATCTTGCACGACGGCTAAATTCGGAACCAACTGGCCATCATCTTGGATGTAGGTCTCGAAATCAAAGTAAAGAAACTTAGCATTTTCATTCTTTTCACGCTCTTCCGGGGTAACAGTGTGCGGTTTCATGAAACACTGATGGTTTTCCGGTAATACATGAATGTTGCAATTCTTACAGTATATTTCTCCGCACTGGTGGTTGTTTGATCCTTTCCGGTTCCGCATTGACACCACACACTGGCATTCCAAACAAACTTTGACTGTGCTGCACAACGATTTCCCTCGACTTTTCTAGGAACCGTTTTGTGGCGATCGAAACATCCTTGCCCATAAAATATACGATTACAGTCAGTGCAGTGTAGAGGATTTGTTGTATCCCGCTCGCAATTCGTTCGCAAGCATTGGTGACAAATATTGCTGCACCGATGAGTGCGACGATCCGAATAACCTTTGCCGCACTGGTAACACCAATACGATCTTTTAAAGAAAGCCGGTAGCGACAACAGTAAATCGTAATGGTGACCATAAAGCAGCAATACTATATGACGCTCCTTGAACTTCCCATTGTAAACAATGCTGCTTCCTTGGTCTAAACTGACCACGATAATCTGATATTCTGGGAGCACAGCTTCAAACAACGGGATATCCATGAGATCGAAGGATTTCTCTGTCAGCTTCGCTCGTTTTATGAGCTTTTTGGCTTCATTAGTTAGCATTTTTTTGCCCCGATGAAGTCGGCGAATCAGCTTCTTGTCCTTGTCAGCATACGCTTTGCCAAACACTAATGCTCTAGCCATACAGATATTATCGGTGTTCTTTATCTGCACTACAGACTTCATCTTTTTCAATTTCCGATATAACAGTTGCGGAACCAACCGCCGACACCCCCCATTTGGCAACTCCGTGTATTGTACAGATATTTCAAAAGTGTTGTCAAGAACAAAATTGTCGTTTGACTGCAGTACCTTTTCAACTTCGTCCATCCATCGTCTGACATCCAGTTGCGAGCGTTGAATAGGTGGCGTCCAAATTGGTCGCTCTAACGAATGGGAATCAATCCGCAGGCGAACTAAATCTTTGTCCCCGACATCACGTAAAACTGACTGAAGGATATGTTCCAAAATAAAGGTAAGTACTACTGGAATTTCCACAAAGGGGACATGATCCAGTTGGGAAACCTACAACGGTACCTCAAGTGATGAATGGAATCGGGCTACTGTAGTTGCAACATTATTAATCAAATCATTTCGTAAAGCCTTGTGGTCGTTCTTTTGTCTTCAAGATTGTAGGTCCCTGGTTACAATCAAGGCTGCGTAATAATTATGTTATAAAAGCAAACCAAAAAATTATGAAATTTTAAAATTGAAAATAACTTTCAAACAGCATTTCGAAGTCTTTGTTATTAGCATCTGAAAACTGTAGTGGCTATAGTGGTAATATAATAATAAGCAATAATGATAATATTTATAAGAATAATAAGTTTGCAAAAAAACTTACTTTTACGGTAAAACACTTGAAATGGAGCTTGTATTTTCTGGAAAACTTTTCGCCTTTGCTCTCGATAGTAACGTGATCATCGATGTCGAACGGTTGGTTTTGAGTTTCAAGGTCTTGCTGCACCGGCTTCCGTCCACCTGTTTGATTGGTAACATTTTTGGTGTCGTCAATCCGGTCCGCCAATGCCGGTGAGGTGTTACAGTCCGATAATTCAGCTGAAGACAATGTGTCTTCACACACCCAATCGTCCAAACTTGCTAAAAGTGCACAATCATCTAGTTCGTGTTGGGATAACTGGTCCATTTTGAAAAACAGATATCGAAAGGACGTACTCCGTATGGCAAACAGTACATTAAAAAGCGTTAGAAATAGCGCTGTGTACGAAATCTACCACAGCGTTTAGTGAAAACGATAGGCTGGAACTAATAAGGTTTTCATAATCCAGAAGGTAACTGCATGGTTGTGAGCACGACCGGTACTTGGCACCAGGTACGCGTTACCATGGTAACGGTACCTGTACCATGTACCTCGGCCATGTACCATGGTACATGGTACATTCAATCACGGCATACTGTGTTGTGGTTAGTATACAAATCAAATTTACAAAATTATTTCCATTTATCCACATATCCGTGCAGATGCATATGCACAGGTGGTGCGTATACTTGTGCGCATGTGTGCAGATGCTCATACACACTTGCGCATCCGTGCAAATGCAAATGCACATGCGCAGAATTGGCGTGAGTTAAACAAACGTACTACTGTGCAATTTCCGCAATAAATCGCGCAGAAAATCCAGCTTAGTTGGTTGTGATGATCGCTGACTCGACTGTAAAATTGCACGCAATTTCGTTTGATGCCACTTGAGAAAGAAAAGCGGAGTGACAAAAGTACTGCCGACAGATGGCACGACCGAAATGTATAGAGATATTTCACGGGAATCTAGCGCTGACACGAAGTCGTCAAGTGTGACTGTGCTGTCTCAACACTAACTGGAGACCTTTATAAACGGAATTTCAAGGAGGGTAAAGGGAGTACAAAATCCATTTCTATACGAACTACACTCGCACAGTGTACGCACTTTGAATAATAGTTTTGTCGTTTCTGTGCGACGGTAAAATGTCTGTTCAAATTGCGGTATTTGCTTGCATGTTGGCGCCGTGGACGGCCCGTGGGATGGTAATTCCAGACCGTGATAGCGACTTGAGTGTTAAAGACCGCTCGGAATTGGCCGGCATTTTGAAACAAGGGCCATCGGTCCTGAGCAGTGAAGAAGTCGTCCACCTTATAGCAAGGGACATGACGGAAAGTGGGGATGGCGCGCATCATCAGTTGCTGGCCCATCCAAAGAAGCCGTTGTGTCCATTGGACGGTTACCCAAACTGCGACAACTGTTTTTCCACTAGAGAAGCTAGTCTGAACGATCCGGCTGAGATGTGCTGCGATGCGCATTACCGGGCCTACGCCGCTCGGCTTAACTTACTGGAGTTCAAAGAGTACTTGAATGGCTTAAGGGAGATTTTCCCGGCACCACAATTCCCTCCCGCCATGTTGGCTTCTTTAAATGATCGTAAGCATACTGTAGACAAATGCAAGATAGCTGTTGCAGAGTAACAGTTTCAAGATACGGGTACAATGTACAATTTTGTTGAAAAATCTAACAGTGTACCACGCAGTTGTACAGTTTCACCAATAATCGATCAGGTATTTGAAGAACTCCGAACGGAAATTAACTAACAGTACAAGTTAGTTAATCTCTGTTGTTTCTGAAGATGATTCTTGCACTGGGGAACCGTACGATTCAGATGAAAGCGCCGACCATCCGTATATTCCATGGAGCCTTAGAAGCAACGGTAAAATGCTCCCATTTCAATGATTTCACCGTACATTTCGCTAATATATATGCTGAGATTCTGCTGAACTGCTGATGCATAACGATCCACAGCGCGATGTTTTAATCCTTCTGAAAAGATATTACGCTTAATATACGGTATTCACGTCAAATCACAGGGATTGTACCAACAGCCACACATTGCATTTTTGCTAATGACTTTTTTAATCTAGATTCAACGAGTTTTATGGAGTGGACACTATGGGGCTGACCTTGTCGATCACCGGTCACGAATTACAATACACAAGTCCAACACCGAAGAATAATGACAGTCAATGTGGCAAAGATTGCAACATCAAAGACCAACATCCAGCATGTTGTTTGCAGAGGTTCACGAATTTTACATGCGGTTTTTCTACTGCCCAACGTTATATTTCTGCTTGTGAATTACTTTACCTTTTTCTGAGCATGTACGTCAGCAGCAGAATGGTTCTTCAAGTCTTTGTGCTAACATTAGCGCGCAGTGTTGCTAGCATGCTAGCAATTTTTTCGATAGCTCTTAACTATTTCTTCATTTAATAAGCGTTTTGTAATAGTAACTTTGTAGTGGAAACTGATATTTTTCTCAGGCTGCGCTGTTCATCCAACAAAAATCTGCTGGCCTGTGGTAAACCTTTTAAGTGCGGACGGTTTTAAGTGCGTACGTGCCTCAGATGCCTGATGAATGTTACAAAGTCTTGCTTTTATAGTTAAGTAAGTACTGCGTACAGAATACAGTATAGTACGTACAGTATAGTTAGTTGTACTGCGTACAGAAAGAAATTTTGGGTTCTTTCGTCATCCCTGAATTTTCCCCTCGTTGAAAAGCATTTCACCTTCAACCACTTTAAAAACAACAACAACAACTTCGAAAACTAAGCCTTGAAAATTTTGAAAATTTTGAGCGATACTCCGTAATTGAGCTTATGGTGCGGCATCAGCATCCAGGAAATTACTTTGGCAATGAGGTTGTCGGCATTCTTTCTTCCGGTCAGCCATCAGAATGCATTTGCTAAGACATATGAAACGGTAATAACATGACAATGTGCAGATGGCCAGCCGTTCAGTTAGCATTAATTCAATTTAAAGTTACTTATTACCACCAACAACATTTTTTCCAGCTCGCCAAATATTCCGGCTAATACTACCGGCAAAACAGGTGGCTTTGAAAGTGCGCAGGTATTAGAACAGTAAAGGTGGTTCTAAAGCAGCCGAAACAAGAATAAAAAAGGCCGCGCGGCGGTTTCTGTGGCATCTCTTTGGCATTAATCAAATTGTAAGCAACGGCAATGGCAGCGGTAGTTTACCGAGTTCTTTATGGTCTCCACAACGAACAATCGGCATTTAATTGGTAAATACCAGTACCCAAGCCGGTTCACAGAGGCGTTATCGCCAGTGCTCAAAAACATACATTTTCCTGTCCGAGAAGCTGCCGTTGCATGCTTACCTGTTAGACTTAGCGCTTTTATGAAAGCGCCGTTTTGTTGATGCTTTTAGCACTGATTTTACAACATCTTAGACCTGAACTTTGTCCGATAAGATTACAGAAGCATGTACCGAATTTTCACGTAGAATTACTTGGTGTGCCTACCACATGGGGCATGCATAGGTGGCACTCTCTATTTATAATTTTATGTTCATTTAAATCAGGCTGTTAATTCACGAAATTTGATTTGCATGTGATCGCTGTTCACGAAAATGGGATCACAGATGTCGACTTTGCGACCGCTGGTACCGGTGGGCGGAGACACATTGAGCCAAGCTCAGATGCAGCATTTGTATCCCCTTCCTCAAATAACCACGTCCATATTTGCTCGGGAGCTGATACCAGCGTGAGAACACAAAATTAAAACGCCGCGTGCAAATATCAGTAATACAATCATACTAAAGACCTGTAGTTAGAATGCCGATGTTGCAGGATGGTGATTCCCAACGTGGGCGGGTGGATATGGGGGTACTTGCTCAGCCGTGAATTTGAGGGGCCTTCTACGTGGTACGAGGTAATGCAAACTTGATGCAACAAAGATACTGTTACGCAGATTCATGCACTCGCTACATTTCAAAGCCATCTGCTGAAATTGGTTAACCAACGTTCTCCTGTCACGCAGCGCCTCCGAAAACCATCTTGGACACCGCCAAACTGGGTGTTCGGTCCAGGTAAAAAGAGAAAAGCCACTATTGACTATTTTGATTTTCCGCCAGTAATTATAACACCTTAATTAGTTCGCATTAATTTTATAAATAAGGATTTCACGCAAATTCTCTTTTTATCGGGTGCGATACGCTGAATCAAACTCAGGATTTCTGTGGTATTAGTATCACTTTTGCTGTTTTGTCGCCAGTGTGGACGGTCTTGTACGGCGGCATGGGAGCCGCATCGTGGTTAGTGTGGCGACAGGGTGGTGGTTCGACTGGAACAGCTCGGATTCCTCTCGTTTTGTACGCAACGCAGTTGGCACTTAACTGGGCGTGGTCGCCGGTGTTTTTTAAATATCATCGCCTTGGTCTGGTAAGAACCTCTTATACATAACTTCGACCGAATAAATTTGCGTTTTTTATGATGTCGTGGCTTGTGTAGGCATTTGCGACGATTTCGGCGCTATGGATTAACGTGGCGGCCTGTATTGGCAGCTTCTATCCAATCAGCGAGACTGCGGCATATCTGATGGTTCCGTATCTGGGTTGGCTGACACTAGCTGCAGCCGGGAATTTTCGATTCTGGCGCGATAATCCCGGTGCGGATGGGTTATAGAATTACTCTGTACCATAATTTTTGGTAGGGTCCGTATGACATTTTACTTTTAACAGACCACCCGCTGGATAGTAAACCGGATATTACGATGGAAATAATGACATTTATTTCATTAGATGATGTCTTAGCAGGCTTTGCCTTTTGTAAAATACTGAGTAAAGCACTCATAATTATGGCAGATACTGTTGTTGACATTATCATTTTGCTTATCGATAGTGAACATCTGCGAGCTGCTCGTCTGCTAAATTGCTTCAAAATTTGCGGAAATTTAAGCTCAAATAACGCTGCGGTCCAGGCCAATGCGAGAGACAATTCGGTCGCAGTGGTTGCTTGGACACAGTATACTTGCAAAACGTGCTACGATAGTACAATGAAAACACAAAACAGCGACCCAAAACTACATACGTACTTTAAATAGAGTTCTCAGTGGTACTGGACCACTGGTCACCTATGCTTGGTTATGTGTACTGTGACCGTTAATCGCCTTTGGCTGCTTAAGACTGTAGGTTTGTTTCACCGCATTATTTTTCGTTAGTATGCTGTCTGACACAAATCTGCTAAAAATATTTAAATGTTTAATATTACGTTTTAGCGCAAAATCAACAAATCCAAAGTGCCTTATGGAGCACGTTTTAACAAGAACCCTACTAACCAGGGCCTCGTCACCGGCTATTAATTTAAAAAAAATTCATCTTTTGTTTAAAGATAGAGTAAAATTAAGATAGACATAAAGAGATATTTTCAGCTTGCGCCATCAACAGGGCGTGGCCAAAACAAAATCTGAAATTAAATTCTACGATGTGCTGTAGGTCTATATGTAGGCAATGCCTGAATAAACGCTCTAGCATTACTGAACAATCTGACAACTGTACGAGGTCGGTTTACTTGTTCAAAATTTTTATCTGTGCTGCTCGCTTATAGTAACTGAAACGGGTTTGTGTAGTAAACTTTGTTTCTGGCGAGATAGATCGCAGCCGCGTTTCACTTTGTAACAGTTAAAAAATTGCTAACCCAGTTTACAAACTGGTAGTTATCCAAAGAATTCATCCAGGCAGATCCAAAGTGTAAACCTGACCATCTCCAGGAACGGTGAAACAACAACGTACTACCACAAGTGAGCACCGGAGATAAAACTTTTGAACGAGCAAGATTGGCTTCGTAGTTCTTAGAGATTGTTCAGTAAAGCTGCAACGCATGCTGTGCCCGATGTGGTATATAGCCTATTGGCTTCGGGATCCAGCATAGCGTAGAATTTACATTTTTATTTTATTTTGGCCACGCCCTGGACAACAACAGCAGCAGACGACAGACAGCAGCTGGAAATATTTTTAATGCTTTACCTAATCTTACTCGATCTTCAAACGAAAAATGCAATGTCTGAATTTCTACGAGTAGCCGGTGACGTAAAACTTGAACTGCCCTCCGTTACTCATAAAACCGAATTCATTTGTGTGTTAACGTCTATCTGTACAATACCTAAAAGAAATCCAGAACTGTATCGTCCTTTTTATTTTCATTCTTAAACCAGCTGGCAGCGCACATTGTAAGAAGGCAACCAGGCTTTCTTCTTCTCTAGTCACCAGTATTTCAAGCAAAACAAACGCACTGCGGAATTCTTCTATACATTCTTCCTTCCGCGCGATAACAGCTTCCATACAAGAAGCTGTTATCGCGCGTTACAAGGCTTTCGACTGCCGGGTACTAACTTCCCAACTTTGATCACGTAACAATTAGCCGAGTGTTGGAAATGAACAATGCTACAACATTCATTATCGATGCATATGCTATCATTTCGGCTGATAATTCCGACATCTGAATTGTACCGTATCTGGCCGTTATTATGTATTGTATGTAAGTATGTGTCAGACACCAGGGAACCGCCGGCGGTAATTTACGGCAGAATTAGTTGCAATATTGGCACTCTTAGCCCTGCTTGTGCTTTCTGTACATATTGGTAGACTCAGAAGCTCTCGGCTTAATTGCTCCTCACTATTACTCCAATTTGACATTTGTGTTGTCTTCTTAGGCATACTCATCTTCCATGTCGGGCCGCGGAGGCGGATTAGGCATCGATTTGGGAACCACCCACTGTTGCGTGTATGTCGTCAAATACGGCTGCCAACCAGAGCCTGTGCCAAACAGTATGGGAGGGAACACAATTCCCAGTTGGGTACGCTATGAGCAAATCGGCCACGAGGTGGGGTCAAACGCTAAGGAGCAAAGCCCGGAAAACGCTACAAGCACTGTATACAATGCGAAGCGCATTATCGGACGGAAGTTTGAGGATGATGCGGTACAAAACGAATGCAAACGTGTGCCGTTTGTCATCGATAATGATAACGGTTCACCTATTATACGGGTACGAAGTTTATGTCTTGTTATTAAAAATCTTTTGGGCCTTATCGGAGCTTTTTCTGGGTGGCAGAATTTTTGTTTTTAAACGCATTAAGTGTTGCTTTTTTTGCTGCCTTCACTAAACCTGTTGTCTATTTCGGGATGGATAGCTATGGATTTATAACGATAGCCGATAGGTAGTGGGGTCTTTATTTCGGGCTGGGCACGTAAAACCGAGTGGGACTCAGAATGATAACACGGCGTTTAAGCACAATCTGGGTTTGACGCTTTGTTTCCGCAATTACTTAGGCTCATCTTTCTAAACTGTCCGCTCATGGCGGTAAGCAAATGACGGAGTGCGCTGTAATAGGTGAAAGAGTGCGATTCGGCTGGAGAAGAGATCTACCAAGAAGCACTGCGCCCTGAGAAAGTCAGTGCTACATTGCTGGAGCATCTCAGAAAAATGTCGGAGGAATTTTTGGGCGAGCTACCGGCGGCCGTGATTACAGTACCGGCTAATTTCACCGATAACCAGCGATCGGCTACGATGATGGCCGCCAAGTGGGCACGCTTCGGGAATGTCACGCTGCTTAACGAGCCAACAGCCGCAGCTATTGCTTATGCCAGCACGATGCACAGCCAAGGTATCATTATGGTCATCGATTTCGGCGGAGGCACCCTGGATGTCACCATCATGAAAGTGGACAGTACGGATGAATTCAAAGTCCTGACAACCGATGGCAATTCGTATCTGGGTGGAGAGGATTTTGACAAGGAAATCGTCGAATATTTTCTGCAAGACATCCATGAGAAATACAATTTCAGTATAGAACCAGGCAGCAGTGATTATTCAAGCCTCAAACTCGTAGCGGAAAAGGCAAAGATATGCTTATCGAGCTCCAACATCGACAAATTTCGTAAATCAGTATTTTTGCAAGATGGAAAAATAAAGCACGTCGCGGTGCTACCGCGAAGCGCGTTTGACGGGATGTTCCTGGCAATTCTGAAGAAGCTCCTTGAGCCGGTGACAAGCGCTCTCACGTCAGCCGGCTTGACAAAGAATGATATCGACAAGGTGGTTTTGGTGGGCGGCAGCACCAGGTTGCCAGCTGTTAAGCGGACTCTGCAGAGGTTTTTTGAGCGCAATGAAGTTATTTGCACCGATGCTAATCCGGATGAAGCCATCGCCAAGGGCGCGGCACTACTGTCTTACCGCCTCAATAATAATTTGCCAAGCAATTTCGTGGAAATCACCGCATACCACTACGGACTGGAGCTCGACGATCCTGGGCAGAACATAATGGAATTAATTCCTCGTGGGATAAGTGTCCCTTGCAGTATTACGGAGAACGTAGAAACCGCATACGACAACCAGACTGCTGTAAGATTTACGGTGTTTCAAAGTAAGCTGGGTTTCAGAGTTGACAAGTATCAAATCGGTTACTTCGAAATCTGGGATTTGCCAGCACGAAAGGCAGGAGAATGCAAATTCACTATCACGTACCGGATCGACGAAAGTACGACGCTGCATGCAGCGGTGCAGGGAAAGGACGATCTGGAGCACTACAAAAAGAATATTGAAATAACGTTATCTAACCGTGTGTAGTCGCTGTCGGTTTAGGAATACATGCATAAAACTTTTTGAATGCTGTTGTGTACTGTAATTTACTAGAACTAACGTATCACGAGTGTTAAGCGTAGGAACATCCTTGCAGTGTCGTAAAAAAGTTTCTGGTTTAATGAAATTAACATTGTAGTCTTTTTCCTAATGCTATAATTTTGCATCAGTTTTGCTGTAGCACTGTTTACCTGCTTTTCTCCTTTTTCTTCTAGCATTTCCTGATACTGTATACATACAGTAACATACTAACTGTATAACCACAATTCATCGGCAAGAAATTCTTTATGAGTTCCAAACATATAATACTGCAATAAAGCAATCTTGTACTTTTTCACTTGTATTTGTTTGTAATGAAACAAACACTAAAGAACTGTGCAGATACAAGCAGAATATGACGTTTTTGACACTCAATAAACAAGTGTACCAGCATGTGGGTATGAATGTATACTGTGCCTTAACGTACGAAAATAGTGGGCAGGCTCGTAAACAACAGTTTGGAATTAATTTCTAACCGATTTCAACAAAAGTGCCCAGTGGTAATAAATACGTAAATAGTTTTTTATTAAAGCAGTGCTGTGGCACACTATCACGTCTGAAGAATTATTTAACGGCTTTATTGTCCGAAGATTTCGGCGTTTCTTGTTATATAAATCATATATTAATGTACCAGATAATAATAATTTATTATTTTTGTACCAGGATCGTGGCAATGACTCTAATGCGAAAGTAATTTAAGTAAGATGCCGCGTCATTATCTGCCTCGGCGAAAGGGTCATCCTTCAAAGGACGGTGGCATCGAAACGAGTTATACGCTTTTCTCGTTGCATGCTGCTCTTCTGTGTTGGCATTCTGGCACACATGCTAGTTAAAACGGTGTTGTCCGTGCATGTGATAGTTTATGTTTCAGTCGCAAATTTTACGGGTAGTGTATAAATATTTCCACGGTGCTTTATCAATTAAAGCATGAGGTAAATTGAAATAAGTGGCTATCGGCTATTGCATCTGAACTGGAGAATTACAGCCGTTAAACTGGGTTAGCCGCGGTATCTTTGTTCGTTTGTGGACAGGTGCGAGTAGGCGGAAACGACTGCGGCGTTGCGGTTTCTGAGAGAGAACAGGTCGGCGGAACTGGGCATACGCAAAATCGGAGTCGGTACAGGCGGACCTCCCGCCGGCGAGTTTCCGATATCCCATTTCTGCCCGACTGCCCCAAACAAACTGTTACCCATTGGAGTAGGATTCAGCCTGGCAGATGGCGGCGTCCGGATGTAGCGCGTGTAGCAGTTGCTCTTCCATCGCCCTGCGCGTTGAATCACACGGTCTGGCACTTTGTTGACCGCGGCGGTGGTTGCCGCACCGATGCGGGAGCTGTGAGTGTTGACGCGGGCTGGTCCGGATGTTCCTCCAGGAGACGATGGAGGCAGCTTCCACCGAACGCCTAGTCAAGTAACTGCCGTCCTGATGGATGAAGAGCGGCCGTGCTTCAGCTGTCGGGTTGAACTGAGCATAAGCCATGTACTTCCGGTAGGCCTGCACGGGACACACGGAACGACCGGTCGCCGTCAGCCCTACGGAGTGGCCTGACCGGTTGGCCTGACCGTAAAAAGGTCCAGGACATCGGGTCTTCTCCAATCCGGTTGGATGAAAGACGCTGTGTCGTTCCAAGCTGGAAGAAATTCTTTCCATCATTCCGGGTCCTTACAAAATTCGCCGTTGAGAGTGGTGACCTTTTCGTGACGGTTGTCGGTGAGCAGGGCAATAATGCCTCGTGTAAATAGGCCGCTCGCTGGTAGACATTTGGTGGCAAACGGGAGTGTTGCGAAAAGGCTTTGGAGCTGTTGTTTGATGCAGCGGTCACGGTTGCTCCATTCTTTTAGCGCTTCCTCGATGCTCTGACGTTTGTTTTCGGGGAGGCTGAGGGTTTGTCGGACAGAGTCCAGCCGGATACCCCGGAGCGTGAGCTGAGTCGCGGGCGCTTCGGTCTTGTCGTGTGTCAAAGGTACCCCGAGTTTACTACACGTCTGAGTCATGGTGGACATCAGTGCGCTACACTGACTACTTTCGGATCTACCAACAAACAAGTAGACGTCGACATAGTGGAGCATGCTGACCCAACCGGTGCTATTCGACACGATCCAGTGGATTGCGCCAGCGAATCGCTTGAAAACGTACGGCGACGCCCTACACCCAAAGGGCAACACAACATCAAAATAGAACTCACCGTTCCACTATAGCCGAGGAGAATCCACTTTCCTGGGCGTACAGGTATCAGTCGGAAAGCTGATTTCACGTCCATTTTTGCCATGAGTGCGCCTCTGCCGAGTTTAGTCAAGATTGATACTGCATGGTCTACGTGCAGTATACTAGCGGAAGTTGCGTCACGTCAATGTAGTCGTTCACACTGTCGTCATGCGGCTGGGATAAATCCAGGATGGTGCGAATGCTGCCATCTTACTTTGGTCGCGCGCCCAGGGCATTGCAAACGAAATGGGGTTGTTGTGGAGTGGAGAACGGCCCGATATTGTGGCCGGCAATAACTTCCTTAAATATATTGGAGGCCGCTTCCGCGTGGTGTTTGCGTTGGGAGGCTGCGTTCGGTGTTGTACGCGTTTTTTGAGGCCCGTGGTAGTAGATAGTGCAGCCGTTAGTAAGGGTGGTAATGACGAAGGAAGTTAGGGTGGGGTCTGGGTGTTGAGCGACCAGTCTGTAAAGGCGCTGATTCGCAGCGGTGTGGTTGCTTTTGCCGGCACTGTCACTTCTTTACTTACCATTTTCGGGCAGAGGCCGTCCTGAGCTTTCGGTCACCACAGCTGGCGCAGGCGTGGACTCTTCCGGCGCGGCAGGGTGTTGGGCAGTTTGCGTAGTTATGGTTACGACAGATTTTCCCGTCTGCGGCGAGAGGCGCGAAAGGGCTGCCCATATCCCGGTTGACCTTTCCGTGGTGTGGGACAGCCGCTGATGTAATGATCTGTTCCTCCGTAGTTTCGGCAGCGTTCGTCTTTTTGTTTTTAGTTCTCCGGTCGCGGCGACATTTCGCGTTCGGAGTGCATCGCGTTCTGGATGCATTCAATGTATGTACCTTCATGTTGATGAGTCCACTGGTCAAAGTCGTACGGGTGACCAGTCATGTGCACGCGGAACTGCCAATCGTACTCCAGCGAGTTGGCGGTCGGAACCCCACGCTCGACGTACGACGCAATTATGTCCATGTACTTGTAAAATCGCGTGTTTAGTTCCGGTGCGATGTGAGAGCGGTAACTGGCGAAGACGCCGCAGGCGCGCATCCATGATGTGACACAGGTAATTCGAGCTTTCCCGTCTTCGGGCGTAATGGTAACCTTTTCGTTTTCGAACACCATTTTGGAGTCCAGCCTCTTTGGTTTTTGAAGGCGGTTCTTTAGAAAGAGTGAGTCCAGATCAGTGTATTCGGTGTGGTCGAGCAGCTTTTTCACGAGCTTCTTGTCCAGCGAAGGAAAATGTTGCGGGAGAGGAGGGATGGTGGTGTTACCGGCAGCAGTTCCTCGCAGCGGCCCAAGTCGGCTGAAGACGTCAGGGCGTCTCCCAACGCGCTCGCGGGCCGGCAAGCGTACTGGCATTGTGTCCAATGATTCACTGCTAGCAGATGATTGCGAGCTGCTAGGCTTACCTTTTTCTTCACTGCGTTTACGCTTGCGGGTGGTGGAGTGTCCGTTGTGACCAGTCTGGTGCACGATTCTACCGAAGTCGTCTCCGAGCTGGATCTGTAGGATGGAGGAAGGAGACAGCGGCCGGAGTTTTGATGGATTTGGGACCTTCTCCCGTGCTGATGGCGCCAAAAAACAGGTTCCGGTGGTGGTGGTGCTGGCTGTGGCGGCGGTGGGGACGGTGGTGCCAGATGCTCCATTGTTGCAAGAATTTTGTCCAGCTGTTCCTGATATTTTTTCTGCTGCTGCGCGAGCGAATGCACTGTCGGCTCCTGGGCTTCAGAGTCGCTTGCGGTGGTGGGTGGGTTACCGGCGGTGGTGGTCCGTCTCGCCCTGGTGGACGTCGTGGGTGCGCTTTTCGCTGGCTGCCGTCCTCGGTTACCACGTCTAGTCATTTTCGGGATGGAAGAAAATAAGTGTCAAGTTCACTCGAGATAATCGGATGTGGCTGAGGGGGATTGGGAGTTTCTCGCGCTAAAGGCCACTGAGTACTTGATTGATATCCTATTACCTTAAGTGCTGTGTGCAAAAACATTGAGCGATTAGGCAGTAGTCTGGTCGCAGAATATTTTCAACTAAAAGTGACATCTATTCAATGCATTTGATGAAAAAGGCGACTGATAGGCAGCCAGCAAGATGCGCAAGTAGATCAAGACAAGGATGTGCAGCACAATGGTCAGTCTGATAGAGAGAGGCGACGTGATCGCGTCTACCTAACTTAACATCGATTAACATGCTAATCGTCCTTCAGTGAGAGAGAATCCGCGTGAAAAACCAAGCGAAACGCATACGTCATAATTTTTTTGAACTAATGAGTAAGAGTACATTGCGTGATTTGTATGAGTTAACATGCTATGTTGTATGTTTATGCCTGTAGTAACATACTGTGAGGAGGAGTGGCCTCTCCGTTCACCCGCGCACAGGCGGCTGCTAGGTTGTTTTGCTGTTTTTGCCGTGTTTTTCTCCATCTACCAGATTCTAAATCTGGTAGATTCTTCAGTTGCTAGATTTCGTCGTCTGAGCTGGATGCTTTTTCCATTTTGCCCCGCAGCAAGGTGCTGCGGTGGCCTTTGATGTGATGTATGTGTAGAGATAAAGTGTGCAGTGTGTTGGCGTTCAGTTTCCGTTTCTGTTCGCGCACAGGGGTGAACTAGCCGTTCATCCCCTGTTAGATCATACTTTTGACATCGTATAATTTATTCAATAATGCTGTGTGATGAGTAATCACCTGTAGTGCTACAAATACTCTTGTGAGTGATGTAGCCGGTTATGCAACAGTTTGTTGTTTATGTCACGTTTGAACTGATATCTTTGCAATGATGATTTCTTATGCATATTTCATAGCTTGTATGTTCTTGCAAAACCACGACGGTTCATTCGAGTTAGAAACATCTTGGAGGTAAAGTCTCATTAGGAATCCGTGTTTTTGCGTTATGAGTATGTAGTAACATACATCATATATCAATAACACTGCAACGTTTAAGTAAGATTTTGCATTTCTGAGAAGTTTACAGTTTGCCACCTTGGCTGTAACTCATGTTATGCTCTAAGACATCTTAATTCCTGGAAACCAAAAAGCGGTGCATCCTTCAATGCGCAGAATAAGGATTTTCTCTGATTGTTGCTGGTTGCTACGAACACGAACGATTGTCTACTGGACCGTCTACTATTACAAAAAACCAGAAGAAAAAAAGTTCAATTTTCGTTTGAAAGTGATTCCGTCACGATCAACCGATGAAGTTAACCATGGGGAACTTCGAACTACTTCCGGAGAACAACTCGGACTGTTGACATATCTAGTTGTGTATCAGGTTTGTTGCCAGTACAGCAACATTACGGTGTGTGTGTGTGTGTTTGTGGATACTAATAATTATTATTAAGATAGCAAACACGGGTCTCTGTTGTCATTAGTACGCACGTGATAAGCGTCGTTTTTTTCGGCAGGATGGTTTTCTAGAAGTGAAAGCAAGCCCGCTTATGAGTGAGTAAACGGTGAGCAATTTTTCTTGACATGCTCTGTGCTGGCTTCGGTTGGCCAACTGGATGTAAACCATATAGTAGCCATATAAAGAGTACAAATACAGAGTAACACAACGTTCAGCACCAAGTTCCATTGCTGCATAGTCGCGTTATGTAATTTTCATCTGTCGCTTTATAGTTTTAGGTAAATTAATTCAGTTGCGTGCTTGCTTAGTGCTACTGCGGTAATACAATAACTAAGTTAATTAGCTGCGATCATAAATTATGAAATTTTGGATATTTATCTCACTGTAGAACATTGACTTCCTGAAAGCAGTTCAACGCCTTGCTTACGTGATCGGTTCACGTGCGGAAAGCATTTAATCCCGACGGAGAGAATCACAGTATACGGAGTGATCTGCATGTTCTCACCTTCAACAGTTTACGCGACATAAGTAAGTGCAGCTTTTATTTCTTCACGTACAGTACCTGCGCACCTGATTGCCAGTGTAGGAGCTCGGTGACTCCTATTAGGACAGTGTGTGGAGAGAATGACTGGACTACACTTGGGAGTGGATATCAAATTCCACCAAACATCGGTGGCGGAGTTCGCTGACGGCGTCCCACAAGACCTTCTCCGCCATGGCTACTCGCAAGGTTGACCGCACCCATTGGCATTTTGATTTTAAAGCAGCCAAAAACCACGCGGACGCCGGCAATCAACCCTCCGTGCCCGTTAAACATCTACTGCTGGAGTGCGGTTTCAGCAAGAACAAGTCGTTGGTAAGTGTATCGGCGGCGTTAACCGATATGTTCGGCTTCATCAAGAGGATCGTAATAGTCAAACGCGGAAAGAGTCCCAGCTGCGTGGCGATGGTGTTGTCGCATGGTCTTCACGCTGTTCCCGAGATGCGGCAAGCGGTGATTAATGCGGGGAAGAAAAACGACGTCCTGAATGTTCTTTGTATCGCGGATACGACGGCCATTTCGCTAACGTACACCGTTCTGACACTGGACCGTCCATCCATCGCCAAAAACGCCACGGGTTCGTCTGGTGTACAGTGCCGACACGGTGCACCTCCAGATCAATGCCTTCAGGGTGTACAGCACCAATTATATGGTCAAATACCCGAGTAATCGAAGCCGGAATACCCGGCCAATTTGCAATCAAGTCCCAGAGAATGTCCTATGGAATTGTTTTGGTGATTTTCGGAAAGATTTAATAGAAGATATATATCCGGAACTGGTGCGCGTCGGTATGCCAGCGTTGGATGAGCATTTCCGAGCGGAGCTGACTGAAAAGTGTCTGGATCAAGTGGCCAGGTTTAACAAATCCCACATTGAGAAGGTCGTCGTGTGTGCACCAGACACCGCATACGCTGTAACGTACACGCGGGCAGCGTGCTATGCGGTGTTGGAGCCGCGCGTTAACGCCATTCAACAGCATGTCACTGCGGAGTTGATGAAATTAGGTATCATGGACGAAGACACCCAGTGCATCAACGGAAAAGTGGAGGTGTTGCTGGTCGGGGAGAATTCTCGGTGGGAATGGCTGCGCAGCGCACTGGAACAGTTAACTAATAGTCCAGTGTTTGCCGGGGCAGCGACTTATGAGGACAATGCCGAGTCGTACGGTGCAGCGATTGCCAGTAGACTGGTGGGAAGCTGTCCGAATGCCAGTCGAAGGAATGTGGTTTGTCGACTGGAGGATGGAACCGCACTGGACATGGGAGAAGTGATGGATAGTCTGCTGGTGAAGGTCACCTACGATCCGGCTCAACCGACGCGGGATACTTTCGTCACCGAGCGACCGGATGCTGTACTTTCTGGCGAACTCTCCATGGGTGGGCATGAGAAACGGAGTACCTGTATTATTTCCGATTGTCGTCTTCTCCGGACCATGCGCGAGGCAAACTTATGCAAAAGTGCACTGCATCCAACTGGAATGCCCGTCGCAGAAAGACGACCAGCCTGTTGTGCTTATCAATATGGTGGTGGGAGTAGATGTCCACATCAAGTTGCAGGAAGAGCACTACCCAAAAGACCATTTGTGGCTGCAGGTGCCCCTTAAGTATCGGTGCGACGTTGGCCGGAGCAGTCTGTGGTTTATAGCCAAGAAGCCCGCCGATTATGGGCCGTTTATAGAGGACTATAAGGCGCGACTACGCGACATTCAAATCGCGTTTCCTTTTGCTGCTAACGGTGAGTGCTTACATACAAAACGTAATGCTAATTTACGCCCAGCAGTCTAATGTGGCACCTGCTGACATAATTTTATTTAAACAAATTAATCATGAACTGAATATTTTCAGCGGAAACATTACTAAAAAAGCCGTATTATTCCTCTTTGGGTGCGTTTGCGGCTCTCGTTTCCGACCAAGTGGACACTGAGAACGCTGAGGAAGCCCCCGAATTACGCGCCAGTATTGTCTCCGTCACTCGCTGCCCGGTGCAGGGTCTGGTTATTATCGTTCAAGTATGCGATGAAGTCTCCTGCCATCTGTACATTGCGCACATGCTGAAGCATACACTTTCCATTGTACGGCCGAATAAGATGAACCGAGTGCGGGAGGAGCCAGATACGGTGGTGGTCGAGTTCACTCGCCACAATTCTGAAAGTGTTCGGATTATCTTTCCCGATGCAGTCACGGGTCGGGCAATTGTTCGTAAGTGCGGATTTTCTTTATCTTCTGGTTTTTAAGCCACCTAAAAAGGACTCTGCAACGCATGTTCATACTTTGTACCCCGTCTTTATAGCGTTCGGTTTACATAAATTGAAACAGTTAGTAACATTGCTAATGATTGCTTACGTATGGGCTGTATTCTTGCCATAATAACTTCCATGGTCCGACGCATGTACTGAATTATGTCATAATTCTGTTTTACTATTAACAAGTGAGTTGCTGTCAAAATTAATACAAGTTTTGTGTGTTATATGATTAGGCTATGCGACAAAATATCAGGCTGTGATCTGTATTTTCAATAACATTATACATCCGATCTCGGTATATAACCTTCGGTATATAACCTTTCCAGTCAAAAACACGTTAAGTGATACGCATTTGGTTTAAAACGAAGAAACTTTCTCATTCAGTATTTCAATTTGAAATTTTTTCTTTGTACGATGAATAGCTCGGTCTACACACAGGGCAGAGAGGATCGCGCTACACCATTGTGTAGCTAAATTCTCTCTGCGTTCACTCAGAAGAGTAAAGACACATATCCGGTCACCGTTCCCAAGCTATTCCCGTTTTCCCGAACCCACCCAACTGCGGCTAGGGGTCCCCTTAAACCTATGAAAATTTATGATATTCCAAAATTTACTCAGAGAAGGGATGGGGCATCAATCGTGGGGTGTAGAAGTTATACAGGGGGGTTGCACTGAACAATAAAAAGGAGATTGGTGTCGGAGTAGCAATAACTATTCTTATTATCAAGAGCTAAAGACGGATTTTTGAATTCCAAAAAATATCTGCTTGCTATTTCACTGACTGAAACGGTTTCCCAGATCAACTTTAACATAAACAAAAGGCTTCGCCAACGTCATACCACCAAAGTAAAGTTAAACAGCACCAGCTATGTTTGCCTTGAAATAAGCCTTTCTCGGCAACTCCAGGGCCTGACCCGTGTAAAATTTTTCAGAAGGGCAGATAGCAGGACCAGTAAAGAAATGTTTGTCGCAAATTTCAGATTTTACGGTGACCTTACAACGGCTGGTGCTCCTTTGAGCCTATGGGGTGACCTTTCTCTGAAAAAAATTTTTACTTCCTTATATGACGTCATTTCCGGCTCCCTTATATGACATAATTTTCTTTACTTCCTTGTTTGGGGACGTTTACTTCCTTGTATGACGTCATTTCTTACTTCCATAACGGAAAGACAGACAGCACCTTTTTGATTTTGTCTGAATTAGAGGACCTTCGCTGCGTTCCGGTCGATAACTGCTTAACAAACAGCAAATTCCCTACGTTCTGGAAGACGTTTTTCGTGACACCGGTTGGAAAGCAGGCTGCTGATCAGACCGATCCTGCAGACTGGCGTCCAATAGCGATGTTACACCCTTTGTCGAAAATTTTTGAAAAATGCATCTGTAAAATTTTGTCAGCTCAAATCGGCGATTTCACGGACAAACAGTTTGCATATCGCGAGAAGCGTTCAACTGAGTTGCTGTTAATATTGTTTTGTAAAAAATTAGCGGATGCAAGAGCTCGCGGTAAACGTGTCGATGTTGTGCTGCTAGACTGCAGTAAGGCTTTCGATAAAGTTGACCACTCGATTTTTCTCGAAAAATTATGTACATTAAATGTTACGTCAGACATTGTAAATCTTATCAGTAGCTACCTATCTAATCGGTCGCAGTCGGTTGTTATCAATAATGAAAAGTCGGTTTTCTTACCGGCTGCAAGCGGAGTCCCCCAGGGTTCACGTATCGGTCCTACTGCCTTTATTAGTATGCTTAATGACTTGCCTGCTGTTTGTGGCCAAGGTAGTGATATGATGATATTTGCTGATGACGTGATGGTATGTAAAATTATTGCGTCAGGTGCAGATGAGATTGCGTTTCAGAAGGATCTTGATGCTGTTACGGAATGGGCGCGAAACCATAATTTGATTTTCAACGCGACAAAATCAGTTTGCATTAAGTTCTCATCCAGCGTGAAATTATCTCAGTCTTATCAGGTTAACGGGGAGGGTGTCCCGAATGTTAATTCCGCGAAATACTTGGGCATTCATTTAGATCGCAGCCTAAAGTGGAAGCTACAGTCAGAGAATGTGTCTGGTAGGATGCTGAAGCGGTTGAGGTACCTTAGCACATTGTTTCGTGCTCGCAACTTGTCGGCTCGTTGTATATTGTATACGAGTCTTGTTCTATCTGTCTCCGATTACTCTGCGTCCGTAACGTTTCCTACACAGAAAGGTCTAGTCGATAACATAGAGAACGTTCAAAAGAGATTTGTCAAATCGTTGCATCTTAATAGTGACAGAAATGACTATACTGGCAGGCTAAAAGAGCTTCAGTGGGAGCCGATTGTACTTCGAAATTTAAAGCGTAATCCTCAGCTGACGCACAAATTCGTGTACAGCTCAGTTCCTTATGGGGACCAGTTGTTTCGCAAAGATACCGCTGTGTGTTCTGGTGTTTCAGGTGCTACGCGTCATCGACAAAGGATTATCAAACACCCTTGCCCGATTGTTGCGACTGGATCAAACTTCTGCGGTCACAAACTGCCTCCATCGGACAGATCGTTTGCCTATCGGTTGGCGAGAATTTGGAATGACTTGCAGATTCCAGCAGAAGCTTATCAGAGTCTTGGAAGATTTACAGAAGCTTTGAATCGCGTTGACTGGAAATCCGTTGTGTCCTTGAAAAAGTTTTACCGCCCTAAACATGTGTCCCTGTTGGAAATGTGAATACTTATGAAACTGTTAGTCTGCTGCTGTTCTATGCTTGTTCTTTTGTTTCTGATGACGTGTCTGCTGCACCGGATTGGGTCTAAACCCTGATTGTGTGCGGACGTTAAATCAATAAACTTAACTTAACTTAAGTACATAATACAAACACTGAACCACAGCATCCAGCACATTACATGCATACTTCGAATGCTGCCTTATGTGGGCTCCCCTTATAGCACTCTCCCTTATCTGGGCTCCCGGCTTGTTAGCAATGCCCGTCAAATTAAATTTATCGGATTTATAGCAGAACCCCTTTATACTTCTTTCAACCAGATTTACAAATGAGCACACCTAACAATTCCGAAATTTCACATCTGTCACGACCTGGCGCATATTTATTAGCAGCCAGGGAGCTGCTCAAACGCAGACTAAATATCGCAGCACATCTCACAGCCACAATGGCAACCACTGTTGCCATGCCACTACGTCACTACATCCGAATTGTATTTATATATATTATCTATATAATATTATTTTTCATTAATTTCAACCGGATTTGCCAATGAACAAACTGAAAAATGCCAAAATTTTCGACCGAAGCGTAACGAAGGTCTTCTATGTTCAGAATTAATGGGAAGCGTGATGTCCGTTCGTCGGTCACCGCCACCAAATGCACACATGCACGGTGGCATTTTGAAGAGATGCACTAATGCGCGGTGGCCGTATATACTCACATCCCATGTAACTGGGGATGTCCGTTCGTCGGTCACCGCCACCAAATGCACACATGCACGGTGGCATTTTGAAGAGATGCACTAATGCGCGGTGGCCGTATATACTCACATCCCATGTAATTGGCGATGTCCGTTTGTCGGTCACCGCCACCACATGCACACATGCACGATGGCACTGGGAACAGATGCACTAATGCGCGGTGGCCGTATATACTCACACCCTACGTAACTGGCGATGTCTGTTCGTCGGTCACCGCCACCAAATGCACACATTCACGGTGGCGTTGGGAAGAGATGCACTAATGCGCGGTGGCCGTATATACTCACACCCTACGTAACTGGCGATGTCCGTTCGTCGGTCACCGCCACCGTGCTTGTGTAAGAACAAATGCACAAGCGCGGTGGCCGCACACATTTACACCCCGAGTAACTTGTGTTGTCCGTTCGTCGGACACCCCCATCTGATCCAAAAAAGGATGGGGCAGCGTAGCCTCATACACTCAAAACCTATGAAAATTGTGGTGAACGTGGTGATGGAAACATTTCGAATTTGTTTTCCACTTGTAACTGACAGAACCATCAGTCGGTTCAGAAAAAAATTCGTCGTGCGTAAATTTTGCTCTTCCAGGATTTTGTAATAACACTATTAATTTTCATATCGTGTATTATGTGTATTAATGTTATTATGTGTATTATAGTGTATTAAGCGCTGAAATAATGTTTGATTTAGCGTTTAACTAATGTTCATTTGTGTAACCCAATAAAAACCACCTTAAAGTTTAATATCCTGTCAACGTTGCCCCGTCAAGGCTACAGACAGATGTTGACCATTTGGCAAAACAAGAAGTTCTGCCGGCAAAGCCACTGGACCCACTCTCTTCCCCAGCTGCTTTGCCGTCATGAATTCTTATTGTGTCGAAGTTTATATGATCCGAACTGCATCAGTTTTGAGGGAACCGGACTGACAAAAACGCCCAGCAGACGTTTTTGCTGTCTTATCCTTTATACGATCGCTAGAATGGAAACTCGTTGGCCAGCATGGTAAAGTTACTGAGACTACTGCCCGTAGTAAAGGATGATGGGTGACCTTTTGGACCTTTCCACGAGCGCTGCTACTGCCTAAGAATTAGCAAAACTGTTAACATCGTATTATTAATCAGGACGGGATTGTTCTTGCCGAAAAACCGTAAAAAAGCTCTGATGTGAGATAGTCTGTTGTTGTTAAAATATTGTGTACTACATGCGTCCGGTGTTAAAGACTGCAACATCTCGAGCAGAAAAATTTGTCTAGCCGGGGCAACAATATTTCTAAAGTAAAACAACAGTACAGCAGAAGTTACAATAATTTAAACATAACCGTTCACTTGCGAAAAAAATTTATTAGAGCAGTGGACGGATTTTGTGTTACATAGATGGCTTACCCGATTACATAGGCAATCTGTAAGTGCTGTTGTATTGAAATTAGCTGCTTTACCATTAGAGGTTCTGCCCAAACTATTCCAGTTTAGACGCATAGACATACTACGATTCGGTCATGCAGTGCCCGCAAAAAGCGAGTGCACTTTCCTAGCATATTATCACATTATTTTTTCATTGGGTTCTTAGTGCATTTAACCGGGCGACGTCTCTTCTCGCTTCTTTCTTCCAAAGCGTCCAGGAAAGCTGATTCTGTTGCAATAGCGCCTTTGACAGTACACAATCTCGAGTCTTTCTCATATCGTCGTTTGACCGCTCGTCCGCCACAAAGTTTGTCTTTGAACTCCACTGCGGCGCGTTTCGGCGACACCGTCGGAATGACACCGTCCGAAACTTGCTTTGATTTTTCAATAATCTGGTCGATTTGCCAGTCGGAAAAAAGATGAATCCTGCGGTAACCGGCGCGGATTGACTCAAACTCTCTAGCGTATATTTCACTTGGCTTTATCGTGGGAACCGGCTCTACCGAAGTAACAAATCCAAGGAAATCTTTGCAAACAACGGCGGGATCGTAGGGGAAAATGCCTGCTTCACGAAAATCGGACTTAATATTAGTTGACATGTTAAATTTCTCCCAATTTTCCATGAGTTCGGTGGCAAAATTCTGCTGCGTAATCTGGATCAATAAAATACAAGTGATTACATACAAACTACAAAAACAAATGCAAACATTTTCACAGTTTATTGTTGAATTCACAATTTACCTCGTTCGCACTGGTGTTTAAATTCCTCTCGCGTAGAACATTTTTCCAGCAACGCTTAACCGGTCCAAATACCTTTGAATCGAGCGGCTGGGTCTTGCTAGTTTGGCCGGCTGGAAATATTACGACCCGAATATTCTTCTCCGATTTGACGCAACGCAGCAAAAACTCCTCATTGTACACATGCGAATTATGGCCGTCCACCATCAGCAGATTCTACAACCAAGTAAAAATAAAATTAATCGAAAAATTACAATGACATTTATTTGGGGAAAATAATATGAATATTTTTATTAAATATTAAAGCAGCTAAATTTTTCTATTAAATTTGTTTTCTTTGGTTTTTTACCTTTGGAGCAATCATTGCAGGAAGGACCTCTTTTTCAAAATATTCCAGAAAAATGTCAGTATCCATCACCCCCGAGCGATTTATTCACAACCAACATCGGTCTTTCGTCCCGAGATATCGCGATGCCATGTGCATTTTTCCATCGAATAAAATAAGAGGACGTAAAATATTTCCCGCAGCACTGCCACCAGCCAGTACAGTGATGACTTCTTTATCGTTTCCATCGTAGTAAGACATAACGTTTTTAGTGCCTTTCCGGGCAAACACAAAATCAACGGTCTCTGCTGTCGAAAATCCACTTTCATCTAGATTCCAGATACCAGCCGGGTCGTCTAGCCATCCTTCAATTTGCAACTCGCTCAGCAATGTTACCCAACCTTCACAATTATCGGCTGTCCATTCTCTCACCTTTTTCCTGTTGACTCCATGCGTAATACGACGTGGTAACTCGGGGAACCTTTCCAGAAATCCTTTCAACCATTTGTCACTAAATTTAGCCACCATACCTAAAAACGGCACCAAAGTTCGAAGTGCAAGTGTTATTTAGTAATTTTACGAATAGTTCTGAAATTTAAAACACGAAAAACATTTTGCGGATAACGTTTTTTTACATGGCGAGTAATAAATAATTGCAGTGTAGAATAAATAACTACGGTGTTTACCTTTTTCCGTAGCCATGCTGGTGACGAGTTTCCTCAGGCACGGTTTGTTTAAAGGGACGCCAATATCTGCACAGTGCAGCAGGAAGGGTGCAAGGTATTCTTTTTCTGAATCCGTAAACTTTCTCTTCCAGCTTCCGCGCTTCTGTTTTCCAATTCCTCGAAGTCTGTTGTACAGGGTTGCGCGGGGAACATTGTAGCGCTTGGCCGCAGCATTTAACGACGATACACCATCTTGCACGCACTTTACAGCAGACAGAATCGCATCTTCACGGTCCATTTGACAAAGTCACAAACATAAATTTTAGAAAGATTTTGAATCTGTCGTCGATGCAACCTAAGCAGTACTGGTAGAATAAGTATTTAAAGTAAATCAAAATTTTCTGTCAGGCATAACACTGATAACAGCTGCGAAAGTATGGGTAATAACGTAACCGCCCATGTAGAGGGTTGCTCATATTGCTCGGGAGCCCAGATAAGGGAGAGTGCTATAAGGGGAGCCCATATAAGGCAGCATTCGAAGTATTATCAGTGTTAAATTTATTTTCGTTTCAGTTTTGTTTGGTCGGCGGTCGAACGCGCGTAAGTTAGCAAAGATAAAACACGTAATAAGTGAAACATCAGCTCGACATCTACAAAGGTAAACCGTAAAACGCACATAGTATATAAAGACGATTCTACAAGATGGTATGGAAATTCAGGTTAGCGACAGGTTAGAAAATCGCTGTAATTACGTAATTTACGTACGTAAACACTGGAGTTTTTCTTGATAGTCCACGGGCGTGTAAGCAACTTCAATAACGCTACAAGGATACGTAAAGCTTCGCGGAATAAACTTAGGTGGCTGGGACTCTCCCGTTCAAATACTTCCATCCATATAGTAGTTCCAGGAGGTCACTAGGCAACCTGGTGCTTTAGCCGTTTAGCGGTGCGACTACAAGTTGGTGATACAGCCGCGTCCCGGGCGATGCCTTCGTTTTAGGTTGGCGACCGCGCACACCGCATTATCCCGGCCGAAGAACTCCTCCAGGGTCTCCCTCATAACTGGCAGCCAATATCTCCGAAACTTGTCAATATCGCACGGCAGTAACGTGGCCGCTGTCAAAGGTTACGCTGTTCAGTGTGTACGAGAGTTAGCACGGGTTCATTGTAAATACTGCATCGGAGAGTTTAGCATTCCGAATCATCCACGGCATATGCCGGGATTGCGAGTATGGCGTCAGGTAGAGTAGGTACAGCATTGATCGGAATAGTTCACCGCGTTTTAACATCCACGAAAATGCAGCAGCGCTGCATAAAATTAAGCGCAACAAACGTGAAGTACTTGACAGTCTTCTTATCGACAATCGTGAAGCAAACGACCAGCAAAACTATAATACTGTACAGTCATTAAAAGAAGTAATTTGCGGACAAGATAGCCGAAGACAGCACAAATGGAATAACTAACAAGCTCGTATGTAGCCAAGGAAAGTACAAGCCCGGCTCGAAATTTTTAGACCGCTGTAAGCGCGACGCACTGAATAGCGCACAGTAAGGCTAGATTTTATCTGCTCTTCACTGAATGCACTAGCGTAAAGCACGTTGTATGGCTCAAGCCCACGTTTCTCAAATATCCCGCTTACAGCGGTCTAAAAAATTGCTCAAGGCTCGGGGCAAATGTTTTTATTGTAAATGGAAAACGTTATAATGGAACTGGATTTTTTAATTTTAAATTATTAAAGAATTAGTGTTTAAAAAATACTTAAATATTAATTCATTTTTTAATTGTTTTTTTTATTTCTTAAGTCAGGTATTATCAAATTAATTAATATCTTTACATTTTTAAAATTTCAATTTTTAAATTATTTTTCTTTCATGGTCGAATTTCGGTGACAGTGTGACAGCCCCGCCTATTTGAGTTACGTCACCACCAAAGTATTCACTAAAGTATTAATTTTTAAATCCTAATTTTGATTATTTTCCTTTCATGGTGGAATTTCGGTGACAGTGTGACAGCCCCGCCTACTTAAATTACGTCAGTACCAAGATATTAATTTTTAATATTATTTTTTATACATTTTCCTTTTATGGTCGAATTTCGGTGACAGCCCCGCCTACTTAAGTTACGTCAGTACCAAGATATTAATTTTTAATATTATTTTTTAATTCATTTTCTTTCATGGTCGAATTTCGGTGACTGTGTCACAGCCCCGCGTGTTTATGTTACGTCACAATCAAAGTTTAATTACAGTAATAACATAGAAATTGATGTTCTTGTGGGATGTCCTTTAAGAGAGCCCACGGACTGCGCAAACTCAAATGCCACATATGTTTGTTTTGAAAGATGTGTTTATCACACGATTTCTGCTCGACTTGATATACAGAGTACAATCGATGATATTTGCCGTAGGAAGAATCTTATGCCACATCTACGTGTGGGAAGGCAGTAAAGCTCTACAATCGTTTTGATACGCATGACCTTTTAGTGGTATTAAATCTGAATTTTGGTACATTGTGCGGGAAAAGTTGCCGCTCTTGTGTGGGAGGCGAGAAAGCTGAAAAACGAAACGGCGACCAGCGCGTCTGCCAGTCCAAGTGACACGGGTGCCACCGGTGCTTTTGTACACAAACAATATCCGAAAAGTGATTATAACGTTAAGCTTAATAAATGTGTAGCTTAAATTAAATTACTTAATGTACTCGTAATTATCGTTTTATTTTTAATGATCTACAGTATTTCCACTTTCTACAGATTTTATGCTTATGGTATTTCCGTACTACTATAGGATCGGCAATGGTATTATTATTATTAATTCATATTATTATTATGAATTGTTAGCCTTATTTGTTAATTATTATTATAATTTAATTTTTTAAAATTATCGTTTTAATAAATAAAAAGTGCCTACTATAGCTTTTTTACACTACAGAGATAGTAAGTAAGTATCACAGTACTATTCGCACATACTGGATGTACATAACAGTATGTACACACAATTTTCTCAAGAGTACGGTAGAAGTAGAAATAGGGAAAGAAGATCGATAAACCATGTGCGAAACGCTTATCTATTAAGCATGCGCGTTTATTTGAAATCCTCCTAAAAAAATTCTTCCAAAACACTTCCAAATTCTTCCCGCAGCGGGAGTGACTACTCAGGGGAACTGTTGCATCGATCTGGTTGTAAAGCTAACCAGGGAATGGTCACCAGTTTGCCTCTCAGAAAAAAATTTTTCCATGAAGATTGAGTAACTTAGCTGGGTAACCGAACAAAATGTCGGTCTACTTCTATGAAGTGTTGCGGGTCCGTTCAACCTTTAATTGACAGCTTTTAGTTTCATTGGAAAGAGCAGTGTTTGCTCCATATAGAAACTAGGTAAAACCAACATTATACAAAGCAATGAATTTTTTATAAATTCTTTGGAAAAAATGGGTGGAGTTGGAGGATGTCCCGGAAACCCAAAATCAAATTTGTCCATTCCGTAAAACTGCTGTTATTCGACGACATGGGCATAACCTTTCTGAAGTACGTATTCTGGGTAGTGAAAACGTTTCTTGTTTTGTTTGTAAAAATGTAAAAAACGGTGACCTTAACTGAATGTGTCTGGGCAAGAAGCGGTAGGCACAAAATTCCGCACACATGACTCTCATAAAATCACCTAGCGGGTGTTTTGAAAATAAGTTCCTCTCCGACGCTTCAGAAACTGACTTAAGGTTTAAACTTATTTCTATGAAAGCAATCATTTAGCTACACTAATTAACTGAAACGGCTTATCTGGTTGCAGCCTGTTTTCGCGAAAACATTTCCCTAAAATAATGCCAAAAAATTTGGCAAAAAACTTGCAGTTTTTCGAAAATTCATAAAAATGCGGGATTTACACAGCTCATTCAAAGCATGCACAATGCCAGCAGCTCATTTTTCTTTAAAAATCAGAAGTTTGTCGCCAAGTAAATCAGTTAAAAAAACTAAAATACTGCTTGCTGGAAAATAGGAAGCCGACAGTTTGTTCGACCGCGCAGTAGAATAAACTGAACAAAATACTTTAAAATACGAACCAAAAAACTCAAAATTAATAATATTAATATCAATCATAACAATATGTAGATATTACGTAATACTGATAATAATAATAGTATGAGTATAATATATATTAACACATACTTGTATATTACTTATTCATTTATATATTTAGTCTAATAATTACTACTTGAATACTGACGGGAGATGCGATCATGCGCTGCATCTTTCGTATAGCACTCCGGCCGTACTAAATGACCATTCAAACTCCCCAGGGCCCCGTCACCGGCTATAAATTCAACAAAATTTCTTTTGTGTGAAGATAGAGTAACATTAGGGAATGCATGTAAAAATTTTTTCAGCTGCTGTCGTCAACAGGGCGTGGTGAAAACAAAATTTAAACGTAAATTTTTACATCCGTTAAAGTATCAGTAATAGATACTCTATTCAGTTTGTTTTGACAAACGGCAAGGCCTTGCGCTCACGGCAACGAAACCTTTTTATTTATTTATCGTAACTAAACGGTTGTACAATAAAATTTCTGTTTGTACTAGTTCCGAGTATTGCCTCCTATCACTGTAGTCCCTGTATTGTACGGCCGATGTCAAAAACGACAGCGCAATTTTCTGCCGGCAGAAAATTCCGCCGTCGTTTTGACATTGCATGGCCGTATTGTATTTAACATTATATTTCAATAGCTTTTTTGGGCAAAGTAGTTTTTTTAGAAAATGTCGCGCCATTTATCGGTATCATCTTAGAAGCCTAATCTGTTTCTGCTAATATGTTTTGTTTGTTGAATCGCGCTTGCACTGCAACCACCTCGTATTTTACAGATCGATACGTGGCAGAGTTTCTACAATGTTGTTAAATCGGTTATTATAACATTAAATCGAGTAATGAAGCGAGTTTACAGTGGTGAGTTTAACACAATGCTCCAGAACTGGCTGGCATGGCTGTCGCCCCCTGGCTGTCATTAATTTACGTTCTGGCTAACGATAAACATGGTGGTTATGTAACGCGCCTGATTTCACCCATAACATCATACTCTAACCGGGTGACGACAGCAAGCACAGCGACTGCTTGCCTAAGCTGGCTAAGCAACAGCAACTACTGTATCTGCCCTTTTTATAACCAGCGATGACACCAAGACAAAGTCGGACGAGAGACGACGCTCGTACTAACGCAAAGCTAAGGGTGAAAATTTTACTGGTTTAGTTGGCACACATAGTTATAAGCATCACATCTGGTAACATTACAAAACAAAATAAACAGCATTAAGACCGTCCGAACGCGGGACGGTCGACGTTACAAACAGCGCATTTCCCCGCTGTATGTCAGTGCTAAGTCGCTGCATCAGAAACTCGAAAGAGCGTCGTTCTCCAGTAGCATCCATTATCCGCATGCCCAGTTCGCGTAGAAACTTCAAACATGCTGGGCTAACGACACCAAAAGTCTCAAAAGCTAACGCAACAAAATCGTACTCGTTAACTAAATACTAATATTTCCGGCGCTTCTCTTCTTCCGCTTTTTTGGCTGCTTCCCCGGCCTTTCTACTGCTGCTGATTACATTAGACAGGGCCAACGTGTCCACGCACGTCACATCCCAGGCAAGTCTCCTTCCGTTTCTCCAAGGCAGCTGTGATACACCATCCGGCCGCCGCTCATCGACGTCACTGGTCCCTCGCGGTTCAAGTACAGCCGGTGTATTGGCGGTGACTAAGCTTCTCCGAATCACTTCGTTCAAGGACGAATGTCGCATGAAACGTCCTGCGCTGTTTTTGCATGAGAGTCCATGATGGCCAAATTCGTCCACGGGCAAACGACAGTCAGTCCACAGATGGAACTGCAAATTGGCGCGCCGATATAAGCTAAGGGTGAGGGGTGGGTAACTGGGTACATATCCTGCCATTTCGGCCGCATAACATTTCAGCCGCATAACACTTCGGCTGCCTGACACTTCGACTGCCTGATATTTTTCATGTTTTCCTTAGGTTTCTCAGGTTTTCTTAGGTTTCTTAGGTTTTTTTGGTTTTCTTAGGTTTATTCTTAGGTTATTCTTAGTTTTCTTAGGATTTTTTTGGTTTTCTAAGGTTTCTTAGGGTTTTTTTGGTTTTCTTAGGTTTCTTAGGTTTTCTTAGGTTTTTTCGATTTTCTTAGGTTTTCTAAGGATTCTTAGGTTTTTTACGCCCGATTTGAACGAGCGGCCGAATTGTCCGGCGGCCGAAATGCCGTGCGGCCGATTTGTCGGGCGGCCGAAGTGTCAGGGAGTCAAGCTAAGACTTGAGCGCTCACAAGCTATGAATTCTAGGAGACAGAAATCGTCATGGCAACCGCAATGCACAACCTTCGATGAAGCGATAAACAAAATGCAATGTTTTAAACTGCATCTGATTTAAAGTACGATTATCATACTGTTCCTAGCAGCAACTTCCTGCTAGTAAGGTGTGTACTGAGTAGTATTGTCTGTCTGTATTGAATTTCCAAATTAATTATATAAAATAATACTTATTCAGGCAGTGCTTATCAGACAAATTTCATTTATTTCAAAATGGAAAGCTTACTACCATGGTACGAGTGTGCTTTATTATCATTTGCAAAGGTTAAGAAGGAGTGCCTGGTGCTCAGGCAGAAATGAGTAGAGACAAATTTCAGACAAAAATGAGTAAGTACTACACAGTATACAGTCTTACGCGCATAGCTGCATAAAATCTTCATATATTTTATGGTCAGTTTCTAGTGCACCACTCATCGTACCGTAAATGATTTAATCTTCGCTAGACAATTTCACTGGCTACTAAAAAAATGGGCCGTGCTCGTTAACTATGGTGTCAAACGAAATTATGCAAAAATTCAAAACTGCAGTTTGGTACACAAGAATCTGTTTGGCTGACTGAAATGCAATTTTCTGCTGAGAAAATATAGGAAAATTCGAATTCGGGTTCTCGAACTTTGATTTTGTTAAAACAATTTACAAAAAAAACAACTCTCTGTTTAAGATCGGCTTAAATAAAGTTTGGTGTGCTTTAGTTTGTAAAAATTGTTCCGTCAAACTTCACTAGCGCGATGTCAGTCAGGCATTGGACGATCCCAGTGCAGCTTAATAAAGCAAACAGCCATTATGTCCAGCCAACAAGTACAGTGTACATAGTTCGTGTTATTAACCGGTAAATTGCAGTTATTGCATTGTATGCCATAACAAAAATATTATGTTTGCGAACAAAGGGCACTTCCCAACGTCCCGTGCCGCCCACCTTCTCCGATGTTGATCCCAGATCGAGTAACCGACACGGCGACATTGACAGACCAGCTGAAAATTATCAATTCATTATTAAACTTGCTAATTTATAACCTGCTTGTAGGAGCTGTTCGGAATAACTTAAGATGCTTACGCAGATCCTGCACCCAGATTTTGAATGAATTAGGTGCAAACTGATCTCTAGCGTAGTGTTTTACAATATTCGCAGTTTCGTACAAATCTAAAATTTGCTCTGTATTAAACTAGGGTAATACCGAAGGTGAAACACCATGCCCAGGATAATGCGCATCAGTACTATTTTTGAATAACTGTAATAATTCCAGTTGAAATACTGCTTTTAAAATATTTAATTGTTGATAATTAAGAAAATGAAAAAATTTTGTTTCAAAGAAACCCCCGGCCCCCAAGGGGCCATTCGAATTCCAGGAAAGGTAAAAAAAAATCTTAAAAATAAATTACTTAACTATGGTTTTCCAATACTTCGTTTTTACTGCTGAAATTCCATTTCCAAGCAACAATCCCAATTGAAAGTATTGCAGTTCCAATGAAAACCGTTGCCCCGAGACACAATAAATTACTTAACTATGGTTTTCCAATACTTCGTTTTTACTGCTGAAATTCCATTTCCAAGCAACAATCCCAATTGAAAGTATTGCAGTTCCAATGAAAACCGTTGCCCCGAGACACTTCGTAAAAATTTCGAGCCGGGCTTGTACTCGTAAATATAACGATATAAAAAGCACCAGTTACTCATTGCTGCTTGGTGATTTGGCTCGTGCTCACGGTGGCGCTCTCTTGTGACCGTCTGGATTTTGTAGAATTTCCCTTTTTATTGCACCGATAATTGGTGTCTTCATCCAAATACGTGCAATTAAAACTGAAGTCTGGATTTCGCTCTAACCGCAGTTTATCTCGTTGTCTAACGTTGACCTGCCACGAGGGTTCATGGGAATTGTGGTGAGGACTTCTTTTTGCTGACTTAGTAGCGCAAACAGTACTGACATAGTCTTTTGCTTGGATGTCTCACGGTGCCCCATTACGTGGCTTCCGTGATCTTTCAAGCCTTCTTCAAAAATAAAATCCCCTTGTACAACTCTTTGTTGCAGTCATGATGACAAGACGGTTCGTAAATTTCTGTTCCATTTGCGGAAACTTAGATATAATGCGATGATCCGAGACCTCGCCTTCGTATCCTTCAAACTGAAATTCTTCCATCTTGGCCTCGCAAGTGATGTAACATACCAAAATAATCTGGTGCGTCTCCTCCCATAACTTTAGTGGGCGCAGAAATTATATCCTGCACGCGCGCCTCTCAGACTGCGTGGTAAATCAACTTCGCAGCCGTTCTCCCCTCCTTTTTGTTGTTATATTCAAAGCAGCCTCAGTTTCGTACATCTGACGGTGGGATACTTTGCGCAAGATGTTGAAGTAAGCTGGCGGTGGTGTCCGATGGTCTAGGATTTACGAAATTTCCTCGCCCGTAACAAGGTTAATTTGGTACCAGTCACCGATTTATTCTAAGTTTAGATGAATTGACACTATTCCAAAGGCTGGACCAACGATCCTGATTGGTCGGGTAACACGTGGTTTGGCTTAGCGTGTAGATTTCCTATGGTAGTTAACATGGTCTACACGCCAGCACGTGTGAGCTACGTCACAGGGGGTGGAGAGGAATTGTGTCAATATACTGGTTTTGACGGTTGAAGCTATCGAAAACCAGCTGAAACCTGTAGAAGCGTCTTGTGCTGATTATCAGGCTGGATAATTATGGACGCCGCGTGTGCAACCTAATGCAGTATTGTGCTCACAGATTGCACTGCTCTGTGTTCGGTACCGTAAAGCGTAACAGCATTTACTTCTTTTATTATCTGAAACGCTATCCCCGCCTCGGGCTGTCGTCCTATCCTTTTTTTCATGGCTTTTTTCATTTGTCCCACTGGGTTATTTCTGAGCGCCCCATAGCACCATCGTGTTAATACCGATTATCGTGTTAATACCGATTGCAAGCACTGATGCATTACGGTCGAAATTCTTATCTTAAGATAATAATAGTCTGGCTATCATTTCGAGATTATGTTGTTCCATTACACTGCCCGCCATTCCTTCTCGCTGTAATTTATGTAAGTAGAATTAATATAATCAACCAGGTAGGCTGGCTGACTGGTGACTGCACTAGTTAATGACTACCAGTGTTCATAAAAGATATCACCTCGTCAGATATGATATGACATGCCATTGCACAGTTTCCACACAACAACTTTTATGGCAGTAAGTGACTTCCTTATACACCAGCTAACTTTTCTTGATGCCACATAGCTCGACAGTGTAAACAAAGTTTATTTACAACTAAATTGGGAACTATCAACAACTGCACTAACCGAAGTTAATTTTTGTATTCTGAAGTTTTGCGGTAGAGGTAGGTTACCGTAGGTATGTGTCAAACTGGCCATTGTATGACCAAAATATGTGGATACAAGAAGTATGACCTAACCATAGGAATATGTGGGGATTTTTGCAGTAGAGTCTCAGTCTTTTCTTGCGAGAATCCAACCGGCACCTACTGACTGTGAATAAAAAAAGCCTTAACGGGCGAATAAGCAAATCTGTCGCAAAATATGTAAAGTGATTTAAACTAATTGTTGACTGGTTTCTCTCGAAAGTGGTGCCGGAAACACTGGAGTATCAACATCATATCGCAACCTGTCCACCTCCGTTTCAGCATCCGGTCAACAGGGACATATTGCCGCACTCAAATTCGCCGCGGGATATCTGGAAGCTATTGATTAGGACCTTTCGGTATACGACATATTGGACTCCTGAAATATATTTGTGCGTGCTGCATTGAACACATCTGTACGTTGCAAAAATATGACAAATCGTAATAGACTATAAAAAATATTAAGCACATTTTACTGCACTAGAGCATTCAGGTCAGGCTGTTAGACCATTTCGGCGATCGATTTGACGCTTTGTTACGAAACCCACACAATTTTCTGCATAATAATCGCGTAAGCCTTAATCTTGGTTGAGTTCGCCAGCTCGACGAGTGACCCAAACCGCCCTGGCTATGTATCATCCGATAGCTCTTAACGTAGTTTTCCAGTACGAGTACTGTATTTTCACAAGTTTAAGGAACACGAAAATGCCCTAGGTCTGCTCGCAGCCACCCGGGGACTGCAGCTACGTTCATTCCTGCTCACTGAGCTCTGAAATCAAAAACTGCAATTTTAATCGTTTTTAAATTTACTGTTGCTTATTACGGGGCCTCATTTTATTGTTACACTCTTTGGATATCCAGTCAATAACAGGACAAAAAACTGAGTGCAAATTTAAATCCTGGAGAACCTGGAGTAATCCATCGGCACGGCCTCTTTTCAACCGCTTTGCACCTTGAAGTGACGGCCTAGCCTCAGTGTGAATCGCTGTACAAGTGCGGAATTTTGGTCGTGCTCGTTATCACGTACAGATACACAATTAGACAGTCTTACCTCGTTAAAATTAGGAATCTGGGCAAGGAAAAGATCTAAACTAAATGACACAGCCAAATCCTAACTGAGTCTTCAGAAATGCAGAGAAACGATGTTGCCCCTCAGGGGCACCCCTTTGCCAGGGGCACGCTCTGGCGCACATGCCAGACTCACATTTCTGTACCGATAAACAAAACGGTTTTGCACGTAATAAAAAAATCAATAGACATTTAGAAAAAATAATAAATAATGTGATTCTGTGAGTTGTAAAACGGGGCCCCGTAATGAGCAACAGTAATTTAAAAAATGATTAAACTGCATTTCTGAATTTCAGAGCTCAGTGAGCAGCATTGAACGCAGCTGCAGGCCCCGGGTGGCTGCGAGCAGACCTAGGGCATTTTCGTGTTCCTTAAACTTGTGAAAATACAGTACATATTATTAAAACTGTGGATTTTGATAATTATAATATCGCATTATTTTTTTCCGCGTAATTTGCGCCGGGTCTGTTAGTCGTCTAATAAAATTTGAAAAAAAACGGGCTCTCCAGAAGGTTAAAACGGACTAATGAGTTTTAATCCCAAATCTGGAAGATTCCACAATATTTGTTCTTGCTACGTGTTGTTTACCTGGTTCAGAAATTCTGTTAATTTGAATTTATGAGATACCTGGGTTAGACGATAATCTTGACTCTTGGGATTTGATTTGGGTCTAAACTTTTAGTGCCACTTTAATTCGCCGCGTTTTGGCAACCAGTTGCTATGCACAGAAACGGTTTCTCACTACAGAATACAGTGAAGATAAGTCCTGGGAATAAGAATGACAAAACAATTTTGTAACGGCCTGGCAGCATCCGTTGCCAAACTACCCGTACGTTTCTGATACAAGTAGAATAATTTGGTCCGCCTCGTAGCAGCTGTCTGGCTCCCACAGAAAAAATGCGTTAGGTCGTGAAAGATTTATTACGACAAACGTCAATATCAAGAAGTAAGCGATGCGAGTGTGCAAAAATTTCTGTAAAATGCTTAACACGAGTCTGATACAATGAACTGGACCGTATTCTGAGAGAGACAACGGACTCTGGTGGAATATAGTCACTTTGCAGGGTTAAGGGCCTTGTATACGGGGGCGGGGTCACAAAGGTATTCTATAACCAACCAATCACCTGCATCCAAATATTACAGTAAGTTCGTACAGTCTTTGACGATTCATCGCATTCTGCGGAGACTGTGTGGAGTTCGTAAATAAGAACCTTTACGTATTTTATAGGAAAAATGCAAGAAGTCCGTTTAGGAATAGAAATCGGTTTCAGGGACGTATCAGTGCTTGCGTACGAACACGGTGTGGCCAGAATGCTGCTACAATTTCCATCTGAGGCCGCATTTAAAAATGACAACTCGGAATGGCATTTTGGTTTGGCAGCAAGTAGCTTCAACCTCGATGAAGAATACCAGTACATTCCCATGATTAAAGAAGTGGTCCACGCTTATGCCTATGCCCAGAATGACCTGACATATAACCATGTCTGGAAAAGATTCCCGCAGTTACCAGAAATCTCAAGCATGTTGTTGAGAGAGTTATTCGCATATGTTAAACGAACAGTGGAGGAAGAGTTTCAGCGGTCTGTGAGAGGAGTTGTCGTCGTGCTGCCGGATGATGTTCTTCTCGTTAAACCTGATCTTCGCCAGGACATTGTAGCCGCATGGAGGGAGAACGGGGTTAACGAGGTAACAGATATTACCGATATATCGGCAGCAATCTTGGCTTATATTATCAAAACTCCGCATGAAGAGCTGCTTACCAAGATTACCGAGCGGAGCTGTTATCTAATTGTATGCAATGCCGGCCATGACGATTTTAGCGTCAATGTTTTCGAAGTTATTGACAATAACCACATGGAAAGATGCAGCAGCGGTTTGGGTATATTACGTCATCGGCTGGGTGATGCCCGGAAGCAAATAACAAAAACTGTCGAGAAAAAAATGGAAACAGCAGGAATGGCGGAAATTCCCAATGAAATGATGGCTGAATTTAATAAAGAATGCGAGCATCAAATGGAGCAGTTCTACAGCCAGATGACCGGAAAGGTAACCTTTCGTACGTTAATGCACAGCCGACTAACGCCAGCAATTACTCGGGACGAATACAACGAGATAATCATGCCGATTGTGGAAGACGTTGTGGGATGCGTGGAGACTGAGTTGAACCGCTTCGGTCTAACAGAAAAGGATGATAAAACCGGTAAAACGTATATCACGCAAGGGGTCGAGGCGCTCCTAGTGGGCAAAAATGCTCGGCTCTTGCCATTACGCGATCAGTTGGAGGAGCTGTTCCGAAAAACGTTCAGTGTACGCCTCGCAAGTTATGCGGACAGAGCCGAAGCAATTGGTGCCGCTGTGGGGAGTTACTTGTTCGGCATTGTAGAGCGCTCCGAACAAATCGACAAATACTTTCATATCGCTGCAAATGACCAAGTGGACCTTCAGGAAATTTTTCGAATGCTGTTCCCACAAAATGAATCACTTCGACCGCAAATCGCAGCTACTAAAGGCGTCTGCGTAACTGAACGCCCATCTGTTACGCTGCACGGCGAACTTCATGTCGGGAAGAGAGAGCACGGGATTAGCGTATCCGATTTTACTTTGACATTATACACGAAGCCAATCAAAGCGAGCCTGCTGCATTGCATTAAATTGGAACACTGCCAAAACGGAGTGAGTACAGTGCAGATGTATTATGATATGGCGTTGGGAAAACGCTTAAAGATAACTTGGGAGCATCCTACCGGGGAACAGCCATATTTGGAAATAACGCAGTTCATTCAACAAGATGGCTTCAGAGGTCGGGGCAGTCTGCGATTCTTGTGTAATGAGGTAGAGGAATGCCACGATTTCATACAGGCGTACGATCTGAGACAAACAGAAATGGTGACGGCATTTCCATCTGCCGATGAAGGTATTGTAGCTTTACTGGTGATAATTAGAAAAAGTTCGTTTGTGTCACTACTGGTGATGACTAAAAACTAATATTTCTTTCGACAGTGCATAAACTACCTAATTCAAAACTGACAAATAACTGGAATCAAGACATTTTGATTGAACTGCAACTGCAACAAAATGAAAATTAATTTTTTTAAAATTTCGTTGACGAAAATTCGGCGAACAGACACAATGTCGTGCCGTCAAGGTGTCCAGCTACCGTTTTAGTACGTTTTCTCAGTCGTCGCCCTTTTGACGATGGACGTAGTGCGGTCGACATTGTGTTAGTCGGCGAAGTGGTAGTCGACGAAATGTCGCCGAGCCACTTACATTTAGCTGAGACTCAAAATAAAGCAGTTATTAACTTAATGTAATGCGAAATGCTTAATTACGCACCACTTTGTATCTGTAGAGTTCGGTACAATGGCAAACTACTACGCCTTTGTGGTTCTTGTGTCTCCTCAGCTTGCCATCTCGTTCAAAGGACCTCCAACGATATTTGTTCCAAGCATTCTGTTGGCTCGACCAGAAAATGCGGAGGATCCCCCGTTTGTAGTACAGGGTCAGAATATTGACAACAGGGGTCAAATATGCGAAGGCCCCTTCATCTTGCGGCCTAAATCTTCATATGATCCGGTACAACGTTCACAAGACAGCAGTGACACCGCGGTAATAGAGACATCAATGGATACTGGCTACCACATCTGTTTCCCCAATGCAGAAATATTGCAGTGGTTCCGAGAACAAGTTTATGGATATGTTTAGTATTATGGCATTATATACGCCATTGAGCGTTTCGTTTTTCAACACTTAGGACTGTCAAATATCAGCAGCCCGCTTGTATCTGCGGCACGACTGCTGCGCACGTATCGGCTAGTCATCTTTCCGCTATGACTAAGGGAAAAAAATTGAAAAATGTTCCAACCAGTGATAACGGATACACTCGTAGAAATAAACACCAAATCTGACAGCACCGTGAATTCTGCAATAAATCTGCCTTCAGTGCCATTCACTACCATGGACAACGCAACACAACAAGCGCAAACTTATTAAAAAAAATAATTTCAGATAGCTTAATGACATGTAATATTAATATTTTCTTCATGTGTAATAAATTTACTAATCAGGTGCTAAAAAAACCAGGTGCGAAATTACTAATTAGTGGCAGATTCGCTAATTAATAAGGTGCTAAATGTGCTAATTAGGCGTGAATGACTTTAGTTAGTTTATCAAACTTTCGCTCAATTACTAATTAATCAGTTAATTAATTAAACCTTATTATCTTAAAGCTTACTGTAATGACGAACTACAGTAAGTACAACGTAATTACAAACGGTTTAATGCAGCCTGGATCATTGCGAACGTTTCTTAGCAGCGCAGGATAATTTTAAAGAGCTGACAAGCAGACTGGGGCCACCTTTTTGGTGGAGTGGGAAGAATCCCATCTTTTCCGCCCACCTCCACCTTTTTTGGAGGGCGGAGGTGGGTGGAACGTTTGAAGGTGGTGGGCGGTGGCGGGGTGGAAAATACGAGCGCAGGCGGAGGTGGGAAAAATTCAAAAGTGGGAGGAAAAAGGGCCCGTCACATAAAAAACCATTGTTTTTCAGTTAAAAATCGAAAAGAAATTCCGCGCTCCGCGCGGATTCAATGAGATCAGTGTCACTTTTGGTGACTTGAGCACGTGAAAAATTAAATACTTTTTAATCACGTGATTTCTGTACCATTTTTGAAGTGCAACACAAGCCAAACACACAATAAAAACTGACGAAAATTTTTTGAAAGCCATGGTGGGCGGGCGGGTGGACAGTGGAAGCATTTATCGTTGGCGGGCGGAGGTGGGCCATTTTTTTAGCGTGGTGGGGTGGGGCGGAGTGGAAAATTTGTGGAGTTAGGTGGGGTGGGTGGAAGGTGGAAAATGCAAAGGTGGCCCAAGTCTGCTGACAAGCGGTCATGAATGTGAGTGCGAATTATAAAACCAAGCTCAAGAGCTCGGTTTTCTAATTCATCAACTGATTCTCCATCTGACCAATGCGCGCGGCGTTATCAGTGAATCTGTCTGACTCACAAATCAGTGCGTGAGTTGTTGCGCACTCGAGAGTTTGGACCTTGATACAATTCGCATCAGAGTCCCAATACGTGGTAATATTTGACAGCAACTACTGCCATTTTTTTGCTAATTGTGCGCGAGCTGTATGTGTCTGTCATAGTGCCCTGCAACGGAGTACAAAACTGCGCCCAGTCCGATCCAAACTTAAAAAATTTTATCCGAACCCAGTCCGACTCGGAATTCTAAAAAGCACACTTCGACCAATCCGATCCGAAAATATTTTTGGCCAATCCGAACCCACTCCGATCCATCCGAAAAATTTTCCAAAAGAATATTACTTAATTATTACACCTCTGACATCCCTACATTAAAATGTTTAGCTGCCATGTTTTGATAGCAAAAGACTTCAGAATTCCCAAGTACAATTTTTAGAGCATAATAAAGGTCACGCTAGGGGATTTACACATACAAATATTTTTTAGGTAAATTTAGTTTTTTAGCACTACGGTGTTGAAGCAATTGGGGAGGTTAGTTATCTGTCCTCACTGTCAGAAATCTGTATCAGATCGTTTTGTTGTATACGGTTCAGCCCACTGATTACCCACGTATTAACCAGGGTCAAAAAGAGGGTTAGAAAATTAAAGATAGGGATATTTCTAAATGTCCGCAACTAGAATAAATGGTAGTTTCATGTGTTCCTTTGGTTTATTTAACGTATATATTATTATTAATTTTATTTTAATCTCCAGGATCAATCCAATTACTAGTGCTGCAAATAAAAATGGGAAGCCGGTGCCTGGTGAAACTGACTGCGCCGCACAACACATGTAGTCCGTTTAACCGAAGTACTTGAACTAAAATTATTTAATAAGACGACAGCAAATAACGACATCATAACAATCGTAAAACGCTCTAAATATCAAAAAGTGTCAGGAGATGGAATAAAAGAAAGTGAAAGAGAATTAACAACAGTCAACGGAACGAAAGCAGATACTACGGTGCAAAATAATTTAGCGCAAATGGAAGCATCGCGCGAAGCGGGAAGCTGACAAAGTTTTTCGTTTTGAAGGCGGGTGAAATTCAATAAAAATTAAACAATAATATTTATTTAATTACGGATTATTCGGAGTTATGCTTGCATCAGAACCCGATCCGATCAGGTGCAAATAAACTCCGAAACCACTCTGACTCCGAATTTTCTAGATTGAAATCCGTCCAATCCGATCCGAAAATCGGAATGGGTTTGGAGCGGATCGGATTTCCCAATCCGTTGCAGGGCATCTAGGCCACTGTCTGTAGCACTGGATAAAAACAGATAGCAAAATAAAGTGTATGTCGATTTCAGTAGAATTTCGTCTTAATTAGGATTCACTAAGGGCTACTGCGAAATCCGATTTCGTACACCCACCATTAAATTGCAAAAATTAACGGGAGTACTATAATTCTGCATTATTTGCAGATGTTTGTCTCTTTAACGCTGCATAATGTGCGGGCGGGCGGGGGCTGTGAGCGGGGGTTCACTAGCGTTCACGTCCGCAACGCTGCGACACTCGGATTACGTGTCTGTGTTGTGTCTCGCTTCTGACTGGCTTGCGTTTTGTTAGTGGGCGCGGCATAGCACGTGCTGCACACTGTTGAATTGGCTCTACGATTTACGATCGAGCTGCGCCGATCAGTGTTGATTTTCTGTTGTGCAGACTTTCAATATTATTAAAAGTCAGCAATTAGCGGTGCAACGTCTTGTGTTTCCACATAGTTCGCAATCCAGATCGCATTGCTCACTCCACAGGATCTATTCCGTGTAGGTCTCTGTCCCTGGATCCATTCTGGATCTAGCATTAGATGGTAGCAGAGCCGACAGCGGTTCTCTGATTTGACTTGATTTGATTTGTGTCAGGCAAATTTGGCCTGTTATCCGTGTGACCAGTAAGGCACAGGTCTGTGGAACAGCAAAGCGCACACCACAAGCGGTGAATCGTCCCACCGATCCGGATTTCCAGCCCTGGTTTTCGTGCAGTGTCTTCAGCAATGATGTGCGCTGTTCCAGACGCTGTGCAAGAGTTCAGGAGAATCAGCGGCAGTGTTCCTCGGTGCAGAGTCTTCAGCGAAGAGCTGCATTGGTGTCACTGTTAATCGGCAAGGCTTCAGCGAAGCCTAAGCCGTGGGACACAAGCGGCGAAGCGCCGAAAGGGGCGCACGGATACCACCAGATCAGACTCCTCCAAACTGGCAGTAGAGCACCACTACTGTTGCTACGGCAGTCAGCCGGCACAGTAGCACACCAAAAGCGTGCGTCACAACCGCTACGGAAAAGCGGCAACGCGGGAGCGGAGTGTGGAGAAGAATTGGATCATCTGGATCATTTTCCCGCGGAACGGACGGTGAACAGGTAGAAAACCGTTATTAATTACGTGATTGGTTAGTTGGTAAAATTGACAATTTTCATTGGTCCGGTCTGAGCTGAGCATAGACGTAGGCGGGATTTTGCACACGGCGCGCATGTCTGGCCGTTGACCGTGACGTTAGGTTGACATAAAATCTAAATGGTTTAACGTGGTTGGTCAATTATCTGAGCCGTGATTGGTCGAAATTTGAACTGAATAATTTGAGCTAGCGGACCAATAGGAACGAAGTAAACAACGTAAATGGGGATTTTCTGCTGAACTTAAACTGTAATGGGAAATTAGAATTGAGACGAGTTATTTGAAAAGGAAAGTGACCTTTTGAGTTGAGACGAGCAGGAAAGTGACCTTTAACACCAGAAGTTGACCTTTGACTTTGAAAAGTGACCTTTACCGAAAAGTTGAAACTGACCGAAATGACCTTTTGATTGACCTTTAAGAGTCTGAATTGACCAACGGTGACCTTCAACGAAGTTGCAATTGAATTGAACATTAGTACAGCGATACCAGCAGCTGTAGGATTCTATTCCTAAACGTGTTCTGAATTGTAAAAAACGGCTTCGAAGTTCTATCTGAAGAGTGACCTTTGAGGCAAATCTCTCTAACTTTTTACCAAAAAAGTGACCTTCAAACGGAACTTTGTCGAATTTTTTCAGTCGAAAAGTGACCTTCAACAAGGGTGTACCAAGCAAAGGTAACTGAGGAAGAGAAGCCCATAGAAAAAGAAACGATGGCAGTCGGAACATCACAGTCGGGTGTTATCACTGCCGAAGTAGACGAGCAGGATAAAAATGTGAACCTGGCTCAAGTGGAAATTGGAAAAACAAAGTTCACCGAAGAAGGACTGACTGAACTGGGATTGGATGACCTTTCACTGAATGATAAGACCGCAGGCGATGTCCTTTGGGCAACTCCAATGGTCTAAGACGAATCGAACGAGTCATACTTCACGGATGATGAAGCGACGATGAATATGTCCTTCCAAACTGCGATGAAGGAGGCTGACCGTGCTGAAGGTATGACACCATTCAAAGACATACCTCAACACCTAATCGAACGGACACAAACCGGAAAGGTCATAAACGTACGACCTCCGTCACCAAGTAGCCCTACGCTGACACTGAGGAGACGCGTCCAAGATTTGGAAAGTGAACTCGGAGCCAAGGAAGGTCAGATGGCTAAAAGAAAACAGGAATACCAAGAGAGACTGGTATCGCTCGAAACCCCGAAACCGAAGCTGAAACTAAGAGGGATGAATACGCGACCAAACTGGCCGAAGCTACCCAGCGTCTGTTAACAAACACCACTGAAGTGTTTAAGCTCAGGAATGACCTTAAGCTGCGAGACCAGAATATTGGAACCCTCCAGAAGGAATCACAGGATCATCTGATAAGAGCCGACGACGCCGTCAAAGTTACAAAAGACCTGCGAGACCTTACAGCCACCGAAGGCGTACATCTCAACAATGAAATAAGACAGGTGATGGAAGAGAATAAGGTGTCGAAAGAAAACATTGAAAAGGTCACCGAAGAGAACACTGAG